TTGACCCCAACAACATACTAAAATATCAGAATGGCATTCTTTCATCTTTGTATCGTAACAAAAGTGGTTAATTCTATCAAAAAAATGCCCATATTTATTTTTAATGGTCTTGCGCATCAAAGGACTTTAATCGAGCGCGCTCGAACAACCGAGTCAATATTGAAAACTGGAATTTTGGTAGAAATCATGAATTAAATTTTTTTCAATAAAATGCCGTATCTATATAAATTTACAATTGTCTTGCGCATCAAAGGACTTTAATCGAGCGCGCTGGAACAACCGAGTCAATATTAAAAAATGGAATCTTGGTGAAAATAATAAATAAAATTTTTTTCAATAAACCCCCGAATCTATATTTATTTTTAATGGTCTTGCGCATCAAAGGACTTTAATCGAGCGCGCTGGAACAACCGAGTCAATTTTGAAAAATGGAATCTTGGTAAAAATAATAAATAAAATTTTTTTCAATAAACCCCCGATCTATATAAATTTTTAATGGTCTTGCGAATCAAAGGACTCTAATCGAGCGCGCTGGAACAACCGAGTCAATTTTGAAAAATGGAATCTTGGTAAAAATAATAAATAAAATTTTGTTCAATAAACCCCCGATCTATATAAATTTTTTATGGTCTTGCGCATCAAAGGACTTTAATTTGCAGTTAGCAAATTGAGATTTGAATTGAGAAAAAAAGGGGAAGTGGAATTAAAACGAATTAAAAAGGTCGAAAAATTAAATGCCGCGCCAGCAGATAAATTCGCTCGCTTGCTCTCGCTGGCCGCCTCTCGGCCGGCCCTGTGTGTGTCTCTCCTCTCTTGCCTGCACGGCGCAAGCAAAGAGTGAGGCACTCTTTCTCTCGCTCGGCGGCTGAATTATAATTGAGTGGCCGCCGCGCAACAATTTCTATGTGGGAAATGGTCTATTAAAATTTAGAAAAGGAAAGTAGAATTTACAATCTGCATGCGTAGGAATTAATTAATTTTAATTAAGAGGAAGTGCGAAAAGTCTAAAAAAAAGGGGCGATGATTTTTTTTTTAAATGGAAAGTAAAGTTTTTTTTCAGTTTGAATTGGACGTTATTTATTTCAAAATTGCAAACTAAACTTTGGCCAACATATTAAGTTGGAATTGGCTCTCGAGAAATTCAAATTGTGGTTAATTTTGGAAACGCTCGAGAGTGCCGAACTTGCAACAGCGCGCATTTTTGCTGCTTTTATTTTTCATCCCTCTCAGCGCGCGCTGCGTAGAGTCTAAAAACACGCCTTAAAACACCCATCACCCAAGCCAATACAGCCGCTCGCTTTTGACCGGCCGCCCCAATAAGATTATACCACGCGAAAGCACGAAAAAATTTAACAATAGAGGTGGCCAAAGGGAGGTGCTCAATTTTGGAATAAATAGCGCGGCCTCGCAAGGCTCGCTCTCTTTCGAGCAACATCGCCCAAAGATCGCCAAAGACCAAAACTTCCTAATGGGAGTTTGCGTCTTGTGCGATCAAGTACAAACGCCGAAGACCGAAAATTTGTAGTAGTTTTGTGTCTTGTGCGTTTGAAACGAATGGTGACCAAGCTGAAATATGTCGAGTTCTATTCGTAATACTGAGACATGCACTGTAACGAAAAGCACTTAAAATGAAGCTAATGATTAATGCCCCGTCGGCCCAGAAGTTGAGACCGAGAGCCGGAGCCACCCGCTCGTTGCAGAACCAGCGGCCCTCCTTGCCCCTTAATTCAAAAGGTAGCTCAAATTCGAGTGACCATGAGGCTGCGTGCTAAACAGATGCAATGTTTATGTTTTAGGCGCTCTGTGCGAGAAAGCAGCCCCATTCCGAGCCGCGGAGCCCGCGAGGAGCCGCCCGCCGCTCGCTGCTAAATGGAGAAGAAAAATACCTTATTGAGCGAATAATAACGCGCGCGATAAAGAAACCCGTGTATATAATTTTTTCCCAATTTTCAACTCTCATTCCTTTACTGATTTTTCTCAAATTTAATTTCTCTTATTTTCACAAAATTTTACTTCCTCTCTTTTTTTCAAACTATAATATCTACTTTTCTCAAAACTCTAATTCTTCCTTTCTCAAATTTCAACTTATGCTTTAATAGGGCAAGGAAAATAAATAGCATTTTACTTAAAAAGAAAATTTACGGATTTTAAACGACAACAAATTGAAGCCCCTTTAAAGCATAAGTTGAAATTTGAGAAAGGAAGAATTAGAGTTTTGAGAAAAGTAGATATTATAGTTTGAAAAAAAGAGAGGAAGTAAAATTTTGTGAAAATAAGAGAAATTAAATTTGAGAAAAATCAGTAAAGGAATGAGAGTTGAAAATTGGGAAAAAATTATGTCACGACGACCGAGTGGACGGCGCTCGGTAGAGCAGCGGAAGTAGCCGCTGGCCATCGAGAGGACGACAGACGAGAGAGAGAACAGCGGCAGGACGACGGCGTCCTGCAGGTGGCAAGAACCGGGCACCCCTGTGCTGCCTACTCCAACACGCTCCCCGCCTCCGTTCACCGCTCGCGGAGGCGCCAACCTCGTTCGGGGCCACCTTCGAGTCACGCCGGGGTCGAACGGGAGGACCCCGCAGCTCGGCGTACCTGCCCCGTCCGCTGCGCGCGTATGCAAATGGAGTTCAGGACCAGCAAGGGGGGCGCGATTTGATTTCCGCCGCGCGCGCCGCACGGCCAGGCACACCAGTAGGATTGAAAATGAATCAAGTAGACAACTCAATTAATTCTTGAAATGTGAATCTTAAAAATAATATCAGCAAAAAGTTAGTAATTGCTTTTAAACTTAATTAAATTCAAAACTTATCATAAAACTGATCAATTCTGCTTTCCTTATTCAAAGTTTCGCGCTTGTAACTTGTGTCTAATTTTAAATGAATTTTACCAAAAAGGAGGGGCTTGTAGCTTCTGTCCTCCTCGTTTGTAAGTTCCATGAGCGCAGCGCTCAGTGCACTCAAAATTGCGCTCAGCAAATTAGAAAATATTATTCCCCTTGCAATTATATCAATTAAAAATACATAATATGGGTGCGCTCAACAATTTTGCGCTCGCGCTCGCGATCACTGGCAACAGTGCGCTCGCGCTCAAGATTTTGAAAATGTTGCGCTCGCACTCAAATTTTAAAAAGTCTTGCGCTCACGCGTTGCGCTCAAAAATATTTTTATCCGAATAAAAAGTGCGACTTTTTAGACAATTTTTTAATATAACAAAAAATACATCGGCAATTGGAAATGATAAAGTTGAAGTTAAATCACCAAAATTGGCATCAGTTTTGAAGTGTTTGGTATAAAAACCTTGTTTTTCATTACAATTTTTGATCAAATTCGGGAATTTTTACTTTTCGTTTGAGCGCAAAATGAGCGCAATTGAGCGCTCATTTTATTAATTCCTCCCACTTAGTTTTAGTCGGACACAAGAAACACTAGGTTTTAAAGTACCAGCAGACCGCAGGTCGCCTTTGGGGTCAGTTGTCCTTTATTTTTTCATTTTTTCTTTGCAACGAGGTTCGCCCGGTTTCAATTTTTCATGAAATCCACCTCGAGTGTTACCTTTCAATTCATAATTATATTATTTTTATAAAGTGATTGTTTATAAGAAAAGAACAATAAATATCCTGCTCTACATGTTTAGGCTGCAGCTTTAAACAATACATAACTCACATAACCAATTGAGGAAAAGCCTACTTTAAATTCAAATCACCATGAATCAACTGACCCTCGATCGTGATATTCTTTCATCAAAATATACTTGTGATACTTATTTGCATTTGAAATTTTCACTAATAATCTTAATAAACTATGTGCTCACGATTTAAGTGTTTAACTTTTGAAAAAAAAGGCTTGTTAATTTTTAAAACGAATATGTATGCATACGAAATGCATAAAATTGTCATAAAAGGGATTTTTACTTGATTTTCATTCAGTTTGGGCCAATATTCCGAATTTATTTGTTCTTTGAATTTTTTTATTTAATATAGTGATTGGTGCTTTGAGCACAGAGCGCGAGCGCAAGAATTTTAAAATTCATTAGCGCAAGCGCGAGCGCAAGGTTGCCCATGAGCGCGAGCGCGAAATTATTGAGCGCACCCATGTATCGTCGGAATAATAATATTTTGTAAAAATATAGCGGCTACCTATATATATTTAAGGATTATATTGGAAAATTGGGATGTGAAATTCAAATTATGGAATACAATAATTTTCATCCCTACTGCACCCTTATATATTTTGCGTGTGATTTTATTCCTGATTTCACTCGCGTGGAGTTTGGATGTGCGAAAGCAGCAAGCCGGGAAAATGAAGAAAGAAAGTGGAGTGTGTGCCGAGATGAGCGCCTGCATTTATGCAACCAGCTTCACTTCCTGTGCAGACACACACGTACCACACCTCTCTATCCGCAATTATTCTCCCAGCTGATAACAGTAGCATAGGTGCCAAGGGCAAAGGTCATTGCCACCGTGCGGTTTTTGAGCCGCAATTGCCTTGTAGTTTTCAGACCGTCCAGGGGAGAGAAGGTCACCTTGCAAATTGCGCGACTCCTCGCCGCCCAGGTCATCCTTGTGCACCCTGTGCATCGACCGATCAACCTTGAGTGGAATCGCTGCAACCCCAGCTTTTCTCGTCTCGACCTCTCACATCACAATAAGCAAGTACGAAACCCCTAACAACAAACCGAGTGCAAGAATCGAACTTGTACATTCGAGTGATTTTTATTGTGCGCGCATTCACCAATTATTTTCACATTAAAAATCAATTATTTTTCCTATCCTCTTTACTACCGACACAAGCAAACTGAAATTAAATATTCATGATTTGAATTAAAATACCAAAAATTTCCATATTCTTTCAAAAAAATAATGTCATCTGAACCTCTTGAAATGAAATATTTTTCTAAACAATTTACCTAATTCGTTTCAATCTGTTTCAAATAATCTCTTTTTTTCTGTGCTAATAATTGTCTCCGAAAGTTGAAATTCCAGGGAAATTAACCAAATTCTAGTAGTGCACTTTTGATAAAGAATTTTTTTGACGTTCTGCGTGACATATATTTGCAGGTAATTTTTTGTTGGAATTTCTTGACACTTTCGTTAGAAAAACTGGGTTGGCCTCCTATAAATATTTTGAATTTTGATCATGTGTGTAAAAATTCTTTTGTAGAGTAAGGAAACATTGAGTATTAGAAAATATATGAAAATATTTGTGAATATTTTTATTATATTTACAGTTACAGATTTTACTTAAAGAATAATTTTGAGTATTTCTATTTATACGGCAAAAGAATAAGCATCAGGTTCAGGCTGCGCGTCGTGAAAAATTGAGTATTCAAAAAATAAACATTATAATTATAACATTAAATAGCTTATTAAACTTCTTAAATTAAATTTCAATTAATTTATTGACTGTGGTTTTAAAAAAATTTATCAATGATAATTATTATGTGAGGCAGTTGACCTGCGGGCTGCTACCCGGCCCACCAGTCTGACATTTAACGTAAATTTTCCTTGTATTTTACGGAAATACTCCACAAATACCCAATGTTTCCTGATTGCTTGCTTTTTACTCATTTTTCTTTTAACTAGTAGGAGTAGGAGAAGTACTTTGAACACATTTGTTACTTCAAATCTAATTTTTTTATCAATTTATTACCAACAGGTCCTGAACAAGACCATGCCCAGAAAGAAAGCCTGTCATTCGGCGAATCTAGTAAAAAGACTGGTCAGCTTGATACAGCAAGAAAATATTACTTCATGGACCGAGGTCCTTTCAAATGATTTTATAAAAAAATTACTTGGTTCTGACTCGAGGAGCAAAAGTGGAGGACATCAAGGTGGAAAAGTCGAAAACACTATAGTCAGAATTAAAAGCAATATTTCAAACCCTACATGCCATGTGCACGCTGCGGTGGCCGCAAGTATGATTTTTTTCTCAAAATAAGCCTAATTTCAAAAAAAAATTTTTTTTTAAAGATCTCAAATTTTTACTTCTTAACTCTGGTCTCATGAAGAACTTTGAAAGGAATTAAAACTGGATATGTAAAATAGAACAGAAAAAGTAAAGCCGTTTTGAAAACAGATTTTGCTTGTAAAAATTCCTTTCGTGAGTTAAATTTTTTTTCACAAATCAATGCAAAATGCAAAACCTATTTTTTTTCCTTATTCAAAATTTGAATTAATTAAATATTAATACAGAGTAAAATCGAATTACAAAAGTCTGTTTTCCAGTTGGATATTGAGCATCGGACAATTCAAATTAATTATCACATATTTATATTTTATTTTAATATAGTAAAATTAAAAATTAACTCTTTCAGTTTTAGGGCCCAAACCGCCTAATCCACCCAAGCACTCAAAGCCAAAAGATTTACAAGCTGAGGACGAATTTGATGGTGACGAAAGTGTATCTAGCGACACCTCTTCCACCAGCTCATCAATGGTATTTATTTTTTTTAATCAGCTAGGATTCCTCATAGAAGACATGCAAATTTATTGTTTCTTCCTGATGTGGGATTTTGCTGTATCATGCAGAAAATATGCATAATTTTGTTCATCTTCACTGAGGAAGGCGGCGGATTTCACATGCGACTTAAAAAGAAAATTAATTGTTAGTTTTTAAGCATTAAATTTTTCTTAATTTTCTTGCTGCTGCTTGCTTAGAAATTTTTCATGAAATAGTATAAAATGGTTCCATAAAATTTCTTTCAGGATGAGGAAACTGGCAAAGACAGTGACAGTCCCAAGAGCAATGGAGCTGATTCAGACAGTGGAGCTGAAGAGGATGCCAGCGGCAGGCCTGTCCCTCTCCCAGGGGATGGTTTTGTAAACGAAGAAGATGTCGAAGAGGAACTAGCACAGCCAATGGCTGCACTCGGCAACGTCAAACTGAAAATCAAAGACCTGACCAAGAGAGAGGCAGCATCAGTTCGTCACAAAGCTGAGTCGATGGGAGCCAAATTTGTAGACGGCGACGCTGACTACATCATTGGACCTTTCAAAACACAGGTGTCCAACCTCAAGCAAGTTACCTGGTTTTGGCTGGAGGAATGTGGTGAAAAAGGTCAAACAGTGCCAATAAAATTCTACCATAGGCCAATTCTACTTTGTCCGAAAAAGCCTTTGAAAGGCGTTGTGGTCGCCATCAGCACGTACGATGGTAAAGAGCGAGTCTTCCTGTCACAACTGGCCATTGAATTAGGGGCAGTGTGAGTAGAACAAAATTTAAATTTGAATTATTTTTATCTGACAAATCCTATCTTTTTTATTTGAAGAGCACTTTACACTCGAGATTATCATGGAAATGAATGAATCGGGCTTTTTCCTCGTTGCAGAAATTGTTTTTTTTATTAAAAAAAGCCATTTGTTTTTGAAAAAAAAAAAAAAATTCTGCTACGAGGAAAAAGCCCGATTCATTCATTTTCATCTTTTCTGTAACGAACAAAAAAATAAGTTTGCTTGAAATCAAATTGAATATACGTATACATTTTTTATAATTGCCATATTTCAAAGCAATTAAAGATGTTCCCAATATAAAAAACTTTTTTTTTTTAATTTTCAGCTATCAAGGCGTGTTTTCCAAGAAACCAGCACCTGAAATGAACATCATAGCCTCCACTCATTTGATATGCCCAACTCCAAAAGGCCCCAAATTCGAAGCTGCAACCAAATGGCGTCTGCCAGTTGTGACAAGAGACTGGCTGCTGCATTGCAGTGAGTCTAATTGTCGCCTTTCAGAGGAACCATTTCTGTTGACCAGACCAACTGCCCCCAGTGCCCCCTCTTGCTCTGCATCGGTTCCTTCCGCTTCGACTTCTTCTATTCAGAAAGGCAACCCTGTAAGATTTTGCTAGTTTAAAAAGAAAACTTGAATAAGAGAAATTTTCATGTTTCAAGGATTTGTCCATGCCAATTGATCCTCCTCCAAACAACCATGTCTTCAAAACTCCCTCAAGCTCAGCAACTCCAGCTCTTGCTCAGGGCAACAATCCCATTGACATAATGTGCATTTCGAGATTGTCTCTGACGAGTTTTAGGACGGAGGTGGCAAAGTTGGACCCTACACACGTATGTTAAGAAAAGAAAACATGGTGATAAAAATTAGTATTTTTTTATGTTTTTACAGAAAAATAGCAGCCCCAAGAACGTACCAAGTGGCGAAGACCAAGCACACTACAAGCAAGAAAAAGAGGAGCCAGCAGCAGAACGACCAGTCCCTCATTTTATGCTGACTGGAATTGCTGAGACGGACCTGAATCACATACAGAGAGTGGTGAACAGTCTCAATGGAAAAATTTCCGCAACAAAAATGTTCAACCCTGAGGCCACCCACCTGGTGACCAATGCTCCGAGTAGAAGCATCAAATTGATTGCAGCAATTGCGGCTGGTCTGTGGATACTCCATCCCGAATACCTGCTAGAGTCACACAGAGCAGGGATATTTACGTCGGAGGAGGATTTCGAGTGGGGAAATCCGAAGGCCGCTGGTTTCTTGGAGCCTCAAATTAAGGACGATCCGTTGGCCCAAGAGTTGGCAGCTGCCTGCTACCGTTGGAGGAAGACTACTGCTGACAAAAAGGGCGCCTTCAAGGACTTCAAGGCAATATTATTAGGAGCCCCACAGAATACGGCTGCTTTGAAACGCATAATTCTTGCTGGTGATGGAGAGGTTGTCCCTTATGAGTAAGTTTTGGTTAAAATTGTTTTAAAATCATATTTGACTTTAAATTTTGTCCAGTGAGGAGAACTTTGGTGGAGTGACCCACTGCTTCATAGATTTCAACGAGGTCAATATGGACTTGAGTGCTTTACGATCTGCAAACGTGCCATGCCACAGCCCCTTGTACCTTAGTGATTACCTCATCAAAAACCCACCTCCAGAATCTTAAGACCATCGCAACTAACTAAATATTTTCTTATTGTACTTTTAAATTCAATTCCACAAGTCTTATTTAAAGTTTTTAATGATTATATCGCGACAACTATAAAGTTTTGAAGATTTTGAAATAAATTTTTATTTGAATAGTGACTATTATTCATGCAGCATAATTTTGCATACGATTCCTTGATTTAAATTATAAAAATGCTCGTAATATTTCAGTAATTTTGCTGAATAATATATATTATGACAATAATTTCATTCATTTTTCCTGAATGATGAAAAAGTATTTTACATTTTCAAATATTTTAAATCATGAGAATATACATTTTTTAAATAAAAAAAGGCATAGGCAAGTTACATGAAGCTGCAGGCAATTTTGTTAAGCGCGCCGGAAACTACAACCATTGCATCGTGGCAAATCATTGCTTCAAATTTGTTGGGGGCAATTTTGAAAGGACATTTTAAAAACTCTAATCAACAATTTGAGAAAAATAAATTACCGGTCAGCTCTGCCAGCTTAGCAACAACCTTCTCAGCAAATCCTAATCTTGTATTCAGACCAGTTCCGACAGCAGCCAGGAGGTACAGCCATGGGAGGCTGGCGTTGATTCTGTTGATGCCGCACATCATGCAAAACTAGATTTTCTGGGAGTAGCCGCTGAATTCTTAACCCAATGTCAAAGGAGTTGCAACCTTGAAAAATCAGTTAGAAATATTTTAAACATTGATTTGAAAAAAAAAACCTGTGTGTGTGGGTTCTGACAATTTTGATGATATCCTTAAATTCTTTTGCTGTTGCATCTAGCAAGTCATGAAGAGTCCTGGCAAGAGATCTGGACTTTGACAGCAACAGCAACGTGCATAGCAGTTGCGAAAGTATCGTTTGAGCTCTGAAATGAAAATTTAATGAATTGAATAATACGTGAAATGGAAATATGTTCACATTTAAACACTTTTGATTTTGATAAATAACACATTGATATTTAAAAAAATTCAACAAACTTGGCTCTTATTGACGTGGTCATTGGGGTGGACGCGAGTTTTGCTTCCGAGTTCTCCACCCATGATTTCAATGGCACGATTACTGATGACTTCATTGGTGTTCATGTTGGTCTGGGTTCCAGATCCAGTCTGCCAGATGACGAGGGGGAAATGGTTCTTTTACAGTTTGCCACTGATGACTTCGTCGGCCGCCTGGCTGATGGTGTTGGCCACTTTGGGGTCCAAAGTCCAAACCGTCCTCTTTTTTGATAAGGGTGGCGGACTTTTTCAGCATTCCCATTGCGGTGACAACAGGGACCTGATTTAAAAAAAAAAATTAAATCCAAATTTAGAGAGAATTTATTGAAGACTCACAGGCATTCCCTTCGACTTCGTTTCTCCGTCAATGGGAAATTTCATCACAGATCATACTGTTTGAGCACCATAGTAATTCTCCACAGGGACCTTCAGCTCGCCAAAATTGTCCCTCAACCTATCTTACCCCTGAAAACATTTTTTTTTTTTAATTTTAAAAAAGGTTTTGAATAAAATCCATGCATAAAATCAAACAAACTTTGCTTTTTATAATTCAAAAGCAAACAGTTTTAAGCCTGGCTTTTACAGAGATAAAATTTTATGGTTGTATCTTGAGGTCTTCGTGTTTAACATACATTATAAATTGATAGGACAAACATCCCGATTAATATATTTGTTTAAAAAAATTAATCATCACAGATCAAAGAGTGCAGGCAATCAAGAGAAAGATAAGACAGGTTGGCACTCTCAATCAAATAGCTCACATTATCAAATCTATCGATGTAAATTTTAAAAGCACTATCTATAATCTATAATCGACGAAAAAATTTGAAAAATTACAGCCAAAAAGTAATTATTTCAATTAAATATTTTTTGGAACTACAACAGCTGAAACTAAACAGGCCTAATAATTAAAATAAGTATGTACATTTAAGCACAACGAAACAATAATATATGTATTATTATAATATCTGCATCTGCATTTCAAAAAAAGTATAATGCGTGGAATTTAATTTGTTAATCAATTACTCACAACTAAATTAATTGCATGTTATTTAATTTCATGCAGCTATTCATAAATATGCCAGAAAGCGCATTTATTATAGATAAATTTATTGATTCACTTACACTTGCTCTTTTGAGGATCCTCAAAAGAGACCCTGGAGCAATTTTAAAAATCTAAGATACTAACATGTTGAATTATGTGCCAGTCATGCTCTCATTATCACAGCCCCAGCACCAAAAAGGGCCAGCAAGCCCAAGTCGGGCAGACAACCTGGTGCAGCACTGCTTGCTATCGACCAGCCACAAGGCCAAAACAGCAGCCAAGACCCTGCAAAATAATTTGTTAATCATTCTATTGCAATTAATTATATAAGTGTTCAACCTATGGGCCTATCAATCCTCATGAGCCTCAGGTATGGCCGGATTCCGTCAGGAGCCCTGTCGACCAGCTGCGCACTGCTGATGGCTCTGCTCTGCAGACACCGAAGACCGGCTTCACTTTTTCTTCTTTCGTTAACTTGGCAAGAAGTGGTAAAATAACAGGAGGAAAAATTCTCGAGGACTGCGAGTTGTCGATGATGACATGTGTCGCACCGAATGGGGCTGCAAGTCCTGCTAACAGCCAAAAGCCCGGACGGGCCCTTCAGAGGACACAGACTAGACGAAAAAAGTTTGGCAACAACTCTGCTGCTCTGGCGTGAAATTAGACATCTTCGGGCCGCGCTGAACAACATGATGGTATATTGGTGATTTTCGTCCGAATGCGACCGACGAAATGACTTTGGCGTATCACATGCTTATTATAAATTTAGTTTGCACATAAATACACGGCCACGGCACCGTCTGGTTTCTAAAAATTCATATAATATATAATCCAATATGTATCCATCCAATTCTCACAAATAAAAACACTAAAAACAAAACCAACAACAAAACAATAAGCGTGTACAGAAAGGATTACAAATTAATGCATTTAACTTTTGACTAAACCCTTAAGCTAAATAAAACAAATTACTAAGAAAATATGAAAAAGTTTTCAGATCCACGGACAGTGTTTGTTGAGTTTTTCTGAATCTTTCGTCCACTTTCGTCTATGTATAGATATCAAATCAATGTAGATGTGTATAGATGAGTTTAAAGCTCGGCCAATCCTTAACTCCGCTTTGTACACTCCTTTCACGTAGGTCTGACCGGTCTGACACCAGAGGGCAAATCGGCGCCAATTTGAGTATAATCATGTTATAATTTTTTTTAACCGCTGTATGTATCATTATTAAATTTTAATGTTCCGGCGCATTAAAGGACTTTAATCGAACGCGCTGGAACAACCAAGTCAATATTGAAAACTGGAATCTTGGTTTTTCACTCAGAAAGCTCCCCTTATTAACGCGGTTTGGCCAGCGCGTTAAATTTAAGTTTTTTAATGTGATTATAAACATTAAAAGGAACTAAAAACGTAGCGGTTAAATAATATAAATTAAATTAATGTTTTTCATCCAGGAAGCACCCTTTAATGCCCTTTAATATTGATGCGGCATGGCCACAGCATTTGATAAAAAAGATAAAAACACTTAAAGTGTATAAAAGTAAACTATTGGGTAAAAAATGAAATTCTTGTTTTTCACCCAGGTAGCACTCTTTGGTTGGAACGTTGTTTGGCCAGCGCGTTTGAATTATTTTACTTCGTTTAGTTCATTTGCCTGGAATAATATTATTTAGTTAAAAATATAGCGGGTACATATATATAAGGAATAATTATTGGGATATTTAATTAAAATTATGGAATACAATAATATATTCATCCCTAAAACACCTTTACATTTTGCGTGTGACTTTATTCATGATTTCACTCGCGTGGCGTTTACGTGTGCGAAAATGAAGAAAGAAGTGTGTGAAAGAGTGTGTGCCGATGAGCACCTGCATTTATGCAACCAGCTTCACTTCTTAAGCAGACACACACACACACACCTCCCACCTCTCTATCAGCAATTCACCCAGCGGATAACAGCAGCATAGGTGCCGAGGGCAAAGTTCATTGGCGCCGTGCAGTTTTTGAGCCAGTTGCCTTTGTACTTTTTTAGTTTTCAAGTTTCAGACCATCCAGGGGAGAGAAGGTCACCTTGCGAATTGCGTGACTCCTCGCCGCCCAGGTTCATCCCGCTGCACCCTGTGAACTGACCGATCAACCTTGCGTGGCACCGCTGCAACCCCAGCTTTTCTCGTATCAACCTCTCACATCACAATAAGCAAGTACGAAACCCCTAACAATAAACTGAGTGCAAGAATCGAACTTGTACATTCCAGTGATTTTTATTGTGCGCGCATTCACCAATTATTTTCACATTAAAAATCAATTATGTTATCTATCCTCTTTACTACCTGCACAAGCAAACTGAAATTAAATATTCATGATTTGAATTAAAATACCAAAAATTTCCATATTCTTTCAAAAAAAATAATGTCATCTGAACCTCTTGAAATGAAATATTTTTCTAAACAATTAACCCACTTCGTTTCAATCTTTTTCAAATCTCTTTTTTTCTGTGCTTATAATTGTCTCCGAAAGTTGAAATTCCAGGGAAATTTACCAAATTCTTGTAGTGCACTTTTGATAAAGAATTTTTTTTTGACGTTCTGCGTTGTCTAATTTGCAGAGTAATTTTGTCGGAATTTCGTTAGAAAAACTAGGTTGGCCTCCCATAAATATTTTGAATTTCGATCATGTGTGTAAAAATTCTTTTGAAGAGTAAGGAAACATTGAGTATTAGTATTAGAAAATACATGAAAATATTTGTGAATATTTTTACTATATTTACATTTACAGATTTTACTTGAAGAATAATTTTGAGTATTTTTATACGGCAAAAGAAGAAGCATCAGGTTCAGGCTGCGCGTCGTGAAAAATTGAGTATTCAAAAAATAAACATAATAATTATAACATTAAATAGTTTATTAAACTTCTTAAATTCAATTTCAATTAATTTATTGGCTGTGGTTTTAAAAAGCTTAAAAAAATTTATCAATGATAATTATTATGTGAGGCAGTTGACCTGCGCGCTGCTACCCGGCCCACCAGTCTGACATTTAACATGTAAATTTTCCTTGTATTTTACGTTTAAAAACTTTTTTGCACTGATTAGCCAAAATAAAATAAAATATTTTTGAAAAAGATTGTTTTAAATACTCTACACTCTACCATGAATATTCTATAAATATTCACAAATCCAGAATTAACAAGAATTATTTATATTTCACAAATATTTTAAAACATACATTGACCTGCAATCTAAAAATCATTATGTGCTTGCCAGATATCCCACAAAAATATAAGGATAATAATATTTAGGAAGCTTTAAAAATGTTACATCCAAATATTGCGGAATATTTGTAGCCATATATCCCCAAATATACTGGAATATTCAGGAAATACTCCACAAATAACCCAATGTTTCCTGATTGTTTCTTTTTTACTCATTTTTCTTTTATCTATTAGGAGTAGGAGAAGTACTTTGAACACATTTGCTACTTCAAATCTAATTTTTTTATCAATTTATTACCAACAGGTCCTGAACAAGACCATGCCCAGAAAGAAAGCCTGTCATTCGGCGAATCTAGTAAAAAGCCTGGTCAGCTTGATACAGCAAGAAAATATTACTTCATGGACCGAGGTCCTTTCAACTGATTTTATAAAAAAATTACTTGGTTCTGACTCGAGGAGCAAAATTGGAGGACATCGATATGGAAAAGTCGAAAACACTATAGACAGAATTAGAATCAATATTTCAAACCCTACATGCCATGTGCACGCTGCGGTGGCCGCAAGTATGATTTTTTTTTCTCAAAGTAATCCTAATTTTCACATTTTTTTTTTAAAAATTCAAATTTTTACTTCTTTTTAACTCTGGTCTCATGAAGAACTTTGAAAGGAATTAAAACTTGGATATGTAAAATAGAACAGAAAAAGTAAAGCCGTTTCAAAAACAGATTTTGCTTGTAAAAATTCCATTCTTGAGTAAAATTTTTTTCACAAATCAATGCAAAATGCAAAACCTATTTTTTTCATGGAATTATTCAAAATTTGAAGCCAAAATCTTAAATATGAATACAGAGTAAAATCGAATTACAAAAGTCTGTTTCTCTAGTTGGATATTGAGGATCAGACAATTTAGATTCATTATCACATATTTATACTTTATTTAAATATATAGTAAAATTAAAAATTAACTCTTACAGTTTTAGGGCCCAAACCGCCTAATCCACCCAAGCACTCAAAGCCAAAAGATTTACAAGCCGAGGATGAATTTGAAGGTGACGAAAGTGAATCTAGCGACACCTCTTCCACCAGCTCATCAATGGTATTTATTTTTTTAAATCAGCTAGGATTCCTCATAGAAGACATGCAAATTTATTGTTTCTTCCTGATGTGGGATTTTGCTGTATCATGCAGAAAATATGCATAATTTTTTTCATCTTCACTGAGGAAGGCGGCGGATTTCAAATGCGACTAAAAAGGAAAATTAATTTTTAGTTTTTAAGCATTAAATTATTCCGCTTTGACCTCTTCTATTCAGGTAGGCGGCGGATTTCATGTGACTTAAAAATGAAAATTGATTATTTTTATTTTTAAGCAGTAAATTTCTCTTAATTTCCTTGCGGCTGCTTAGAAATTTTTCTGAAATTGTATGAAATGGATCTACAAAATTTTTTCATCTTCAGGCAAGTGAAAGAGGCTCTGCTGAGGGAAGTGAAAGAGGCTCTGGCTCCAGTGATCATTCAGGGTCGTCAACTGACGGATCTATTGACAAAACTAAAGTCAGTTAAAAAAAAGAAGTGGCAATAAAAAATTTATTAAGTTTTTTTTTCACAGGATAGCAGCCACAGTTTTGAAGAGAAAGAAAAAGAGGAGCCTGCTGCAAAAGTCTGTTTCCTGGTCGCAGAGGAAGAGGACCTGGTCGTCATACGGAGAATTGTGCAAAAGCTTGACGGGAAAATCTCCGATTCCAAATTTTTTGACCCCGAGGCCACTCACCTGGTGACCAAAGCTCCGAGAATAAGTGAAAGAATGCTGGGAGCAATTGCAGCTGGTCTCTGGGTAGTTCATCCCGAATACCTGCTGGAGTCACACAGAGCCAGGGAGTTTACGTCCGAGGAAGATTTCGAATGGGGAAATCCGAAGGCCGCTGGTTTCTTGGAGCCTCAAATTAAGGACGATCCGTTGGCCCAAGAGTTGGCAGCTGCCTGCTACCGTTGGAGAAAGACTACCGCTGACAAAAAGGGCGCCTTCAAGGACTTCAAGGCAATATTATTAGGAGCCCTACATAATAAGGCTGCTTTGGAACGCATAATTCTTGCTGGTGGTGGACAGGTTGTCCCTTATGAGTAAGTTTTGATTTAAATTGTTTTAAACTCGTATTTGATTTTAAATTTTGTCCAGTGAGAACTTCGGTGGAGTGACCCACTGCTTCTTAGATGTCAAGAAGGTCAATATGGACTTAAGTGCTTTACAATCGTCCAACGTGCCATGCTACAACCCCAGATACCTGAGCTATTACCTCATCAATAAAGCTCCTCCAGAATAAAATGTCCATCAAATCTGAAGTAAATATTTTTATTTTTAAAGTTAATGCCCAAACTTATAATAATATAGTTTTATTGTGAGAACTAAAAAAGTTGTCAAAGAATTTGAAATAAATTTATTATGTGAACAGCGAAAATTATTGCAGCATAATTTTGGATACACTTCCTTATATTAAAATATAAAACTGCTTGAAAATTTTCAGTAATTTTGCTGAATAATGTATGACAATAATTTCATACATTTTTCCTGAACGACAAAAAAGTATTAAATTTTCAAATATTTTAAATCATGAGAATATACATTTTTTAAATAAAAAAAGGCATAGGCAAGTTATATGAAGCTGCAGGCAATTTTGTTAAGCGCGCCGAAAACTACAACCATTGCATCGTGGCAAATCAATGCTTCAAATTTGTTGGGGGCAATTTTGAAAGGACATTTTAAAACTCTAATCAACAATTTGAGAAAAATAAATTACCGGTCAGCTCTGCCAGCAGCAACCTTCTCAGCAAATCCTAATCTTGTATTCAGACCAGTTCCGACAGCAGTGCCGCCAGCAGCCAGGAGGTACAGCCTTGGGAGGCTGGCGTTGATTCTGTTGATGCCGCACATCATGCAAAACTTGATTTTCTGGGAGTAGCCGCTGAATTCTTATCCCAATGTCAAAGGAGTTGCAACCTTGAAAAATCAGTTAGAACAATTTTTAAACACTCATTTGATAAAAAAAACCTGTGTGTTGGGTTCTGCCAATTTTGAAGATGTCCTTAAATTCGTTTGCTGTTGCATCTAGCAAGTCATGCAATGAGGAGTCCTGGCAAGAGATCTGGACTTTGAAGGCAACAGCAAAGTGCATAGCAGTTGCGAAAGTATCGTTTGAGCTCTGAAATGAAAATTTAATGAATTGAATAATACGTGAAATGGAAATATGTTCACATTTAAACACTTTTGATTTTGATAAATAACACATTGATATTTAAAAAAATTCAACAAACTTGGCTCTTATTGACGTGGTCCGTGGTCATTGGGGTGGACGGGATTTTTGCTTCCGAGTTCTCCACCCATGATTTCAATGGCACGATTACTGATGACATCATTGGTGTTCATGTTGGTCTGGGTTCCAGATCCAGTCTGCCAGATGACAAGGGGGAAATTAATGGTCCTTGTACAGTTTGCCACTGATGACTTCGTCGGCCACTTTGGGGTCCAAAGTCCAAACCATACTCCTTTTTGATAAGGGCGGCGGACTTTTTCAGCATTCCCATTGCGGTGACAACAGGGACCTGATTTAAAAAAAAAATTAAATCCAAATTTAGAGAGAATTTATTGAAGACTCACAGGCATTCCCTTTGACTTCGTTTCTCCGTCAATGGGAAATTTCATCACAGATCATACTGTTTGAGCACCATAGTAATTCTCCACAGGGACCTTCAGCTCGCCAAAATTGTCCCTCAACCTATCTTACCCCTGAAAACATTTTTTTTTTTAAATTTTAAAAACAGTTTTGATTAAAATCCATTCATAAAATCAAACAAACTTTGCTTTTTATAATTCAAAAGCAAACAGTTTTAAGCCTGGCTTTTACAGAGATGACATTTTATGGTTGTATCTTGAGGTCTTCGTGTTTAACATACATTATAAATTGATAGGACAAACATCCCGATTAATATATTTGTTAAAAAAGAAAATAAATCATCACGGATCGAAGAGTGCAGGCAATCAAGAGAAAGATAAGACAGGTTGGCACTCTCAATCAAATAACTCACATTATCAAATCTATCATTGTAAATTTTGAAAGAAAAAATCAATAAGAAAAAGATATTTGAAAAATTTATAATCAGAAAATCAGTTATTTCATATATTTGAATGAAATATATATTTTGGAACTTGGAACCACTGAAACTACACAAGACTCACAAGACTGAATAATAACTAAAATAAGTATGTATCTTTAAAACACAAAGAAACAAAATATTTATTATCTTCATATCATTAAAAAAGTAAAATGTATAAAATTTAATTTTTGTTAATGAATTACTCACAACTAAGTGAATTGTTGTTTTGATATATATATATTTTTTTTTTATATTAATAAGCCAGAAAGCATAATAGATAAATTATTGATTCACTTACATAATTCACTCTTAAAAGAGCACCTGGTGCAATTCTCTAATTCCGAGTGAGCATCCTGGATACTGACATGTTGAATTATGTGCGAGCCATGCTCTCATTATCACAGCCCCAGCACCAAAAAGGCCCAGCAAGCCTAAGTCGGGCAGACAACCTGGTGAAGCACTGCTTGCTATCGACCAGCCACAAGGCCAAAACAGCAGCCAAGACCCTGCAAAATAATTTGTTAATCATTCTATTGAAATTAATTATAAGTGTTCAACCTATGGGCCTATCGATCCTCATGAGCCTCAGGTGTGGCCGGATTCCGTCAGGAGCCCTGTCGACCAGCTGCGCACTGCTGATGGCTCTGCTCTGCAGACACCGAAGACCGGCTTCACTTTCTCTTCTCTTGTTTATTTGGCATACGTATCCATGCTTCTGTATTACAAATAATACGGCCACGGCACCGGTGTGTGTGTGGTGTTTTTGTTTTCGTCTTTTTTTATGCCCTCTTTTCAACAAGCCTCTTTTACTCTTATGCACCTCAACGCCATCTCTTGGTGCTTTTGTTAGTTGAAAGATTTTACGTTTTACTAAATTTTTATATGCGTACGTAAAGGTTTTAAGATTTTTAATTTTTTTGATTGCTTTAATCAAATTTAAGCTGCAACAAGTCAACCTGGTATAAACCTGTAACAAAAAACATTTTTAAAAATTCATATGATACAAAATATTGCGAATATTACACAAATTGTAAACATTCTTTTAGAACGTTCTACTCCCTTCTACACACACCACTTCGAGATCTGAATCGGCAAATTTGGAGTTTGTTGTCAATCAAACATGGTAAGAATTTTATGAAAATTATCTTTAATTTTCAGGAAAGAATGTTAAGAAAGCAATTTAGTGGTCACTTAATGCATTTCTTTCACACTTTGGATGATCGAGTTATTAAAATCGATCCCCCGTTTGTGCTAAAACCTCGTCAATGATTCTTTTAAGTCCGCATGCATCAAGAACTTGCCGGGTCATCGTAGCCGGTCCAAGTCCAAATTAAGCTTTATAATCAAAAAATCTAAAACTAGGACGCTTTCCTTGCTCATATAAAACTGTTTTATTTTAGAAAATTAGTTCAATCTTAGCGAGAAATGTATTTTCATTGATATTAAATGCTAATTATCATAGAGATGTTGCATTGAAAAGTGAACCTGTCAAATTTTCCAGTTCCGTAACCAGTATGATAGCGATGTCACCGTGTGGAGTCCTCAAGGGAGACTCCATCAGGTATATAAACTAATTTTTAGCCTCCGTGAGTTTAATAGTAAATATTGAAATCTATATCCAAAGGTTGAATATGCCATGGAGGCAGTTAAACTGGGCTCGGCCACTGTGGGCCTGAAGAGCAAGACACATGCTGTGATTTTGGCCCTGAAAAGAGCCTCGTCAGAGTTGTCTGCCCACCAAAAGAAGATCATTCCAATTGACAACCACATCGGAATGTCCATTGCCGGCCTCACTGCTGATGCTAGGATCCTTAGGCAGGGATATAAAAATATATGCATTGAAATTTTTGCTTAAATTCTTAATTACAGTCGCTACATGCGCACTGAGTGTCTTAACTACCGCTATTCTCACGATGACGCTCTGCCTGTGTCTCGATTGATTACTGACGTTGGCAACAAGATGCAAGTTTGCACTCAGCGCTATGACCGCAGGCCCTATGGAGTCGGACTACTCGTGGCTGGCTTTGATGTAATTTTATTATAAACTTCATATCTAATAATTTTTTAAGCTTTAATTTTTTTTAATTACAAAAATTTTAATTGTCACATTTATTTACAATTGAAAAGAATACTTGTTAAATGGAACAAACCTACAATATTTTTGTTAATTTTTTCTAGGACAATGGCCCTCACATTTACCAAACCTGCCCTTCGGCGAACTACTTTGACTGTAAAGCAATGGCCATTGGAGCCAGGTCTCAGAGCGCCCGCACATACCTTGAGAAGAACTTGGACAAATTTGCTGATTGCGACCTTGAGGAGCTGGTCAAGCACGGTCTGAGAGCTTTGAGGGACACTCTGCCCAATGAAGTTGATCTTAGCACTAAGGTATTTCCCAATTTTGGCCATGATGTGTGAATTTATTTACTAATATGAATTGATTTATAGAATGTTTCCATTGGCGTGGTTGGCGCTGGCTTGGATTTCACCATCTATGGAGAGGAAGAGATGTCACGACTCCTAACAGCTATCGAAGGAGAGGAGCGTCGTGGCGGAACTCAAGCAGCTGCCGAAGCTGCCCAGCCTCCAGCGGCAGAGCCCGCAGCTGCTGAGGGAGAAGCCATGGAAACGGAATAAAATTTGCAATTTATTTAATTTACATTCATAAGATTGTACTTTTTTAATGTCTCTGCTGGCGCTACCAATTATTAAGTTGGTTGCAACAAATAAAAATGGTATTGCAAAGAAATATCTAACTTAATATCAATGTTAGAAACTTATCAAGGTCAAAAGCATTTATGTAAAGTCATGGAAGAAATAGCTGCAGTAATTTTGGTTTGCTTTTATCTTTGAAAATGATTAAAGGTTGTAAAATTAACATTTTTATGCTATAATGCCACTTAAAATTAATAAATTTTTCAAAATTGTGTCACGCTTACAAATATTCAATTATTTTCCTATATTCAGCAGTTTGCAATTTCTTCATTAGTTTTAGTACACAAAGCTGAAAGTTAAATTGAAGTTTTAACCGGTTTTAACCATTGCGTAATAGCTGCATAAAAATACAAAAATACTGTGAGACTCATAACATAACTGATTCCATTAATTACGCTTCAAAAACAAATAACCATTTATTATTAAAGAAACTAGATCAGATGGATAGAGTATCTTTATTGAACACAGAAGAGGTTTTCATTTTGCAACGTCAAGGAGATTAATTTTTTGCCCTAACAAGAAGTTAGCTTTTGGCGCTACCATTTAAACATGATACAACGTGATTGGTAGATTTAGCCAATCACGCACCAGTTTTTCCGCCCCTCTACCCTCTATGCTTCCCGCCAGCGGTTTTTTTGTTATTTGTTTATTATGATTTCTTTATGACATGAATTCATGTGTTTGTTTGCATTTTTCGTTAGATTTTAAAATCTGCAAAGGCAGGGCCAATACCTGTTTTCGTCTATTAGTCCATCTTCTTTTTATTAAGCTGAAAAAGGGAAACATTTGAATTTAACGATGGACTTGTCCGTGAGAAATTTCATAACGATTCTCAGAAATCACTCGTGTAAGTTCTACAAGTCATTTTTGTTTAAATTTTAAGATGAATAATTTTTCTAGTTAAAATATGTTATGATGTATGTATTTCTAATTTACGATGACCATATTTTTCAGCTGGCAGATCAAAGTATTCTGCCAATGTGTTTGTACCTGCTTGTGAATCTGTTGAACAACACGCATTTCTCAACGGGTTATCGGACGAAGAGTTTTTAGGTGTAGCTAAAGCTTTGGCCAAATGCAATCCCAAAAAGAATAATTTACGTATGTGTAAATTTTTTAATTTCGTCAGTAAAATTAAAATTATTTATTCAATAAATCAGCATCCAATGCTACCCAGAAGATCATCCGTTTATTGATCCCAGCAGGAAGACCTAGAGTAAAGGATGTGGAAGTATTGCTTGTTTGGTTGATGAGTTATTGGAAAGATTTGCCAAGGAATGCTGCAAAAACTGCCTTGATGTGGTTTATAGGTTAACTGAATTGCAATTGAAATTATAAAGAAACTTGAAAATAATTTCTTAATATATATAGGTGCTCTCCAATTTGAGTTAATCCGTCCAGAAGATGTTAACTGGTCTTATGATGTCTTCTGCGGCGTATTTGAAATCAAATCTTTAGTATTTGTTCATTCAAAATTTTCAAACATAATTAACACTTTTTCTCAACCCAGAATCTTCAACTCATCAAATTTCTCGAATTGATGACAACACCGAACTTGGTCACTAGATTCAGGACCCAGATGCTTTGGAATGAATGCAGCAAGAGTAGCAACCAAAAACCTGTTTTTCAACTTCTCAGGTTGATTGGCATTAATAATATTTATGTTATAAGATAACTGATAATATAAATTGCTTTCAGCTTTTACAAATCCATTCGGCCCGACAAGGTTCCGATGCAGATTCCTGTATTTACTTCTAATTTCCAAGGCTCCACTGGAGAGAAGACATTGATGGATCAACTTGAAAGGGCAGCAGCAAGGGCAGATCAACCAAAAGACAATCCAGAGGGCTACAACTTCGCACAAATTCGATGGGCTATGCAGCGAGCAGTATTTTATTCATATTGAAAAAATTACTCTTGATATAAGTATTAATTTTATTACAGAGACGAAGTAAAAAGCAAGGGCAAGTGCTTCCTACTATTAGCTACACTGCTAATGTTGCAGCTAGAACTGAAAACGTTAAAGAGCTTTTGGAATGCGAAACGTAATTTCATATTTAAATTGTAGGCTATAACTTAAATTTGCCTTGGCTTCAGATTGAATGATGTCGCTGTCAACATTCTCACTGCTAGAACACCAGCTCAGGTTTTATCCTTGGCCACTTCTCCAGAAGCAATTTTTTTCCTCAAGTTCAAAGATAGCGGCGAACTGACCGCTAGATTCAACTACTGCCTCCTTAGAATGTTTGGAAGCCGTAATTTGTAAACTAGAACCTGCAGACCTATGTTATTAACTTTGATTTTAACAGTGGAGAATCTCTACTTCAACCCTCAGTACAAAGAAGACATTTCTCAGCTACTTCAGTGCATTGCTACCAAGCAGGATATTGATTTGGAAGGGTCAATTGTTGTGACAAATTTCATTCAAAATTTTTTGAAGTACAATCGAAACCCAATTTTTTTGCCTCTGGTTCTGAAGCTGCTGAAATGGCCAAGATTTGAGGGGCCTATAGGTTTTTATTCAAAATTCTATGGAATATTAAAAAATATAAATTTAAATTTGTATAGATTTGTATCAAAACTTGTTAATCCATGTAGAAAGTGCATTTGCCTCAGCCACCTTCCGACACAAGGAACTGATCATCGAGTCCCTCTGGAACTTGGCCATAAACTTGGTATTTTATTACAAACTTTAAAATTAATAGAATAGATTTTGAATAATGAATTTAATTCCTGCCAATGCAAGTTAAGTGAGTTGGAAGACAAGCTGGCTGATGATTTTGAGTGGAGTCCAAAAGAAACCTTGCAAATGATCTTTGGAGTCATTGAGAAATTTTATGATCACTGCATTGCATCAAGGGGCTTGACAGACACGGGCGGAATGATTCCGAGTGCCATTACACATTACTTAGAAGTAAGCACTTTGAGGTTATTAAGAAATTTTTACTAATAATTGTTTACAGCTATTTGGGATAGAGGCCACACTGCATCACAGTTTCTCTTTGCACACTGTAGCACCCAGAAGTGTTCTTCTTTGTAGTTTGATTGGTGGGCCTTCTTACTTGGTAGAACAGTGTTCAAAATTGATTGTCTTGTGAGTATCATTGAAGCATTTGTAATTTGCTGACTATTTAAGTGATTTCTTGAATATTTAGATACAAGAGCATGCTCCCGAAACTGCCAAGAGCTGCAAAGAAAGAAATGAATAAGTCTGCGGAAATGCTAGATGAGGTGTTTCTCTGCTTCTTTGACATTCTATTTGATGTTGTATGTATTATTAGAAAAATTGTTTCACTTTTAATTACTTTTCTATCTTTCGTTGCAGGACAAAGGAACATCACTCCTCACAAGGGTTGTCAAAAAGAATGCAATTCCTGTTATCAGTAAGACAATTTTGAAAAAGCCTCAGCTTTTGAGATACTTTGGCTTGCTGATAGAAAGACTTCTTTCTGAAGAGGAGGCTGGCAATGACTGGACATTAGAGGTAAAAGCCTAAAAAAAGTATATAATGTATGATTAAATTTCTTACATTAAAACTTGACAGGATTTCTTGGAATTTTGCAACAACAATTTTATGAGTTTTGCAGAGCTCCTGGAATTTACAAGAAATGCAGAAAGCCAGCAAACCTCTAATGAAACTTGAAAATTATTGATCTGTAGTTATAACTTTAAAAACAATGTGAATATGTAATCAGATTTAAAACTTTTTCCCCAACTGAGAAATATGAGCAATTTTTGTTTTAGCTTTTTAAAGAACGATAAGTTTTCCAATGTTTTCTGTCACAACTTTATAAATTTCACTAATGTAAAGTATAAAAATGTATTAATAATTTTATTTAGTTCTTAAATGTGAGCACTGAGCTCTCGTGCCTCTCGTTTATACCTAAAGTTATTATTGATGATAATAAGTCTTTTTCACTTGCGTGTAGCTGATAATAGGCATGTCTTTCCGCGCACTTAATTTGAGCAGGGATGAGCCATGTAGGCAACCAAATAAATTTTACCTTCAAGAGAATGTAACGCAATTTTTATATATTTTTGGCAAAAACTGGATTTTTGTTTAGCTTGATGCAAGAATTACTTTTCTTATTCTTTTTCGGTAAAAATCGCACATTATTATTGCACCCTGAGAAGAGTATAAATTTCCTTTAGTTGGCGATATGTAAGTAGGACGAAATGCGCACGCATGTTGCTCCCATGCTTTTTCTCTAGCAAGTGCTGCAAGCTTGTTGGCCGCAAGTGCGAGCAAAAATTTCCACTGAAGGCTGAGGGGATGAGCGAATAACAACCTCAAATACGAAGCCACTGATGCCCTTCAGACATTTCTCGACCCAGGCCGCCGTAAGTTCAATGTACGTGTGCACACCCCGTGTCAATAGAAAACACTTTTACATAACTGAACTGATTCCAAAGTAATAAGAGTGTGGCTCATTACAAAACTTTGCTTTTATTAGCTTAGTGCATGACCTTTCGCCGCTTGCACATTTGGCGCCGTTTGAAGCTTGACTCGATCGAGGTCGTCGGTCGAGTGTTGCAGCAGCTCAACCCCTAGCGTTCAGGAATTTCTCTCATTGACCGCAGAACCTGCTTATCCGGCACCTCAGCAAGAAAATGAAGTACATCCTTGTGACCGGCGGTGTGATCAGCGGCGTGGGCAAGGGGGTCATCACCAGCTCCTTCGGCACCATCCTGAAAAACTGCGGCATCCACGTGACGTCCATCAAGATCGACCCATACATCAATATTGACGCAGGCACATTCTCGCCCTATGAACACGGTTTGCACTCAATTTATTGGAAAATAAATTTGGTTTGTTAAAAATTATTTTAATAAAAATAAACAGGAGAAGTCTATGTTTTGGATGACGGAGGAGAGGTGGATCTCGATCTTGGCAATTATGAGCGTTTTTTGGACATAACGCTACACAGAGACAACAACATTACCACAGGAAAGATTTATCAGCACGTAATCAACAAGGAACGGCGTGGAGACTACCTGGGAAAAACTGTTCAAGGTTGTTTTGATGGAAATTTTCAAGCCATTTTTTACAGAAATAAGATCCCAAATTTCAGGACTTTCGAGTCTTCCTATTCTCTTTCTTCTGAAAACGGAAAGGCAATTTCAAGGTTTCCCAGAACTTGTTAAAGAATATTAAAGTTAAATTAAATTTTCTCTTATATAATAGAAGTTGTAAAAGTATTATGCACATAGATAGTTTAAATGAAAATTTTATTAGTTTGTCCTCCAGCGTTGTTTCAACACAGCTAGTTATTCCTTTTTAAATAGCATTAATGACCTGTTGTCTCATTTCGTTCATGGTGTAACTTCAGCTTCGAATAATATCAATGGTCGTATTTCAGTGGTGCCTCATATAACAGATGCAATTCAAGAATGGGTCGAGCGTGTTGCGCAGCAGTCAGTCTGCGAAACGAATAAAGAACCTGAGGTTCAACGTTTATAAATTTTAGTTTTAACTTTTTACAATTTTTTTTGTTTATTAATAGGTTTGTCTAATTGAGCTTGGAGGAACAATTGGAGACATCGAAGGCATGCCCTTCGTTGAAGCCTTTCGGCAGTTCCAGTTTAGGGTCAAGCGCAACAACTTTTGTTGTGTGCATGTTTCTTTGGTGCCTCAGCCACGCTCAACTGGCGAGAGCAAAACAAAACCCACCCAGTCCAGCGTCAGGGAGTTGAGAGGCCTGGGATTGTCCCCTGACCTCATAGTTTGCCGCAGCGAAATGCCCATTGGCCAGTCTGTCAAGGATAAAATTTCTAACTTCTGTCATGTGTCTGCAGAGCAGGTATATCATTATCATTCTGGAACCATTTAATGAAACTGTGGAAGTAAATGTTTGGTTTTTTAGGTTATTTGCATTCATGATTGCTCCTCCATTTACCACGTTCCAATTCTGATGGAGAGCCAGGGCATTGTTGATTTCTTTAATCAAAGACTGGATTTGAACATTGATATGCCTCGTCCGAGGAAATTTATGCAGAAGTGGAGGGACCTTGCTGAAAGGTAACTAAAAATTGATCGAATACAAAATTGATCGTAAAATGCATTATGTTATATTTAGGAATGACAATCTCCAGAAAGAGGTGAACATTGCCCTTGTTGGAAAGTACACCCAACTGGAGGACTCGTATGCCTCGGTCACCAAAGCACTTCAGCATTCGGCTATTGCAGCGGGCTACAGGTTGAAACTGAAGGTATAATTTAACGATAATTTATTATATAGATCATGTGACAACCAAATGCCCCCCTTTTTTTAGTATATCGAAGCGGCCAATCTGGAGGAAGAAACGAAATTCAAAGATCCAGTGTTGTACCACGAAGCTTGGCAACAGCTTTGTAAAAGCAAGTGAGTTGTCCGAAGTAAGATTTGCCTGGTTTGCAAATAAAACCTGTTTTTTTTTTACAGCGGTGTGATTGTACCAGGTGGTTTTGGAAAAAGAGGAATTGAAGGCAAAATCCAGGCATGCTTGTGGTGCCGCAAAACTCAAAAGCCATTCCTGGGAATCTGTCTTGGCCTGCAAGTAGCCACGATTGAGTTTGTACGCAACGTTCTACACTGGGACAATGCCAACTCGACTGAAATCAATCCAGAAACACAGTACCCAGTGGTCATCGACATGCCGGAACATAACCAAGGCCAGATGGGAGGAACTATGCGTCTTGGAAAGCGCCAGACTATATTCACTTCGGACAAATCTGTTCTGAGTGAGTTTGTGTAATATTTTTTTTATTGGATGTTTATGAACCATGATATTTTAGAATCACTTTATGGAAACGCAGAATTTGTTGAGGAGAGGCATCGTCACAGATATGAAGTGAATCCGCAGTTTGTGAAAGAAATCGAAGCTGCAGGAATGAAGTTTGTCGGTAAGTCGGGAGAAGATTATAATGAATTTAGTAATTTTTATGGAATTTCCAGGCAGAGATGTCGAAGGTGAAAGAATGGAAATCATGGAGCTTGAGGGTCATCCATACTATGTGGCTACTCAGTTCCATCCTGAGTACTTATCCAGACCTTTAAAACCGTCGCCACCATTCCTTGGATTTATTCTTGCTAGTGTAGGCAAGTTGAATCACTTTTTGGCCAAGGGTTGCCGATTCACTCCCAAAGAACTCTCATCAGATGACAGCCTCTCAGGTAAATATATTAGTTTACTTTTTAATTGTTTCTAGAAATCGTTTTCTATCTAGATGAGGAGGTTCAAGTTACTTCAACCTTCCAAAAAATTGCTATCAACGGAGACGTGTGCCAGTGAATTTTATCAACGTAAACTGCTTTTAAATGAATAAGTTGCCTTATTGGCTTTTTAATTGCAACAACATGTGAACTAAATTTTAAATCTTTGAAATGTATTTAATGTGCAATTCCAAACTGTGCAATCTTTTATGGGTTGTGAAAATAAAAAATGACCTTACTATACCTCTGAATGTAGAAATCCAATGGTATTTTTTCCATCAACAGTCCCCCTGAATTATATTGTTTTTATGAAATCCGAAGAATTTTCATGTGAATGCTATTTTGCACAATAAAAATCGAGGTAATTTATAAATGTTTGAAATCCTCAAAATCTACATTAATATTGTAAATATTCAGGATCAGTATAAATTATTATCCCAGAAATTATGATCTATTTCTTATCATTTAATTTATACATTAAATCATTTATTTCTAACTGGTTCAGTAAATAAATTGGTCAAGACTTCAATTGTGTAATTATAACTAATTAAAAAAAAATATAAATCATGAAGTTTCAAAAAAATAATATATTACAAACGGAAAAAATATTGCTTGAATGTAAAGACAATTTGTCCAGTTTACTTTTTCTTCCTTTCTTCTATGCACTTCGGGCAGTACCACTTGCCTTTTGGCTTCGTTGTCAGATTGACGCAAGCAAAATGGAACCACTCGATGGGACACTGAAAATTAAAATGTTTGTACAACGGTACTTTTGCCTCATTAAATTTTCAATTACATCTGGATACTCGCACGCTATCATCTCTCCGTACGATACTTGGTGGCACAGACAATAAGTTGGTTCATTCGGATCAACGGGCATGTCCAGGACATCTGACGGATGAGTGAGGGGTGTCGTAATAGCTGCTTCGGAAACTTTTGCCGCCTGGGCTTTGCTGCCACCTCTCTTTTGCTTCTTCCTTGATTTGGTAGCTTCATCGTCAGAGCTGTCTCTAGTAGAACGTTTCTTGTCCTTTTCTTTTGTCTTCTTACTCCGACCAGCTAAAAAAATTTAGATAAAACTTTGTTCGATGCAAATATTGCTGGTAAAACCTTTGCTTTTGTTTCCTGGAGTTTCCTCAACAGATCTAGTACTTCCAGCAGCCGCTTTCTCTTGGATTTCAGCTTCGAAGCGGGCCAAATCTGAGTCTAACCTTCTTATGTGTTTGTCAACCTAATTATTTAAATACAGATTTATTATTGTCAAGATGGTTGCAAAAAATAAATAAATACCAATTCGTAAGTTTGGATTGCCAGCTGAACTTTGTCATCGCCGTACTCCTTGGCCTTGTTGAACATTTTCTGTATATTCGAAATGAGCTCTTTCTTCTTGTCACTGCTGGTGCTACTGGATTTGTTGGTTGGAAATGCAAGTCCCTCTAAATACTCGGTGGCCAATTTGTCAATGGACTTCATCAGATTTTGGGCTCGAGCGTCCAGATCGCGGAGTAAAGTGAAGTTTCTCTGCAGCTCAATGGGCAAATGCTCCAAACCTAAAGCGTGTATTAATTTAAATTAGAAATCAAAACATTTGGGTAGCTTTAAGACACGCACTGTCCAAATAGTGCTCCAAATAAAGCGCGGTTGTCATTTTTGTTCCGTTTGCTATCGGACTTCCTCGGGCTTCAAGATTATGGATGAGACTCCGTTGTGCTGGACGAGGACAACCGTAAGAAGGGTGAGCGAAAGCGGTTTGAATTAGAAAAGTTTGAAAGGCTCAATCGCAAAAGTTTGATGGTCAAAATTGGATAAACAAGAAAATTGCGGACCACAACAAGAAGCACAAACGCACCGGGAAGGGGGGGGGGGGGGAGCAGTCTACTGACGTCATCAGCCTTGCCTGCCGTCGGCTCGCTGCGGAAGCAGCACAAAACCGCCAGCCAATCAGCAGCGTGGGCGCGCGATCGTAGACTCGGTTTACGGCGCCAATCTGATCGTGCGTTCTAACATGATTGAACAAGATCCTTTCGCATTCGACAAGTCTACATCTAAATAATGACAAATGCATCAGTGTGCGTGTTTTTGTAAGAAGGTCCCAGAGTTCAGAAGATTCATGTTTATTTTCACAATTAGAGTTATTAACCACTCTCACCCCTCTGGATTTTTTTAGTTTTACCAAAAGCCTTGGAATAAATGAAGGGCAGACAGACGTAATGAAAATTTTCGAAAATTTTTGTTATTGTATACATTTCTTGAAATATTTTTTAAGCAAATGAACGTGGAAAGATAATTATATAACATAGAATTCTTAACTACTGAGGAATTGATTTCGGTTAAGTATAATTATGATAATTATGTAATGCGTCGTGATGAAAATTAAAGTAAATAATTTTTCACGCATTGTTACGACTTTCGTCGATTTTTTTTTATAATTCGGTCTTAAGTCCTCTGTCGTCTAAGCATAAATAATGGAAAAAGTAAAATAATTAAAATATTTTAGTGACTTTCACGTTTAGTTTCACTTTTGACAAATTGGCAATTGCAATGCGGAAAAATTTACAACATAAATAATTTCGAAAAAATCTTTCCAATTAAGGAAATAAAAAATGGCGTTAGCATAGGCTGGTGTTTATTTATTTTTTAATTTATAATTTTATTTTTTTAAGCAGATACAAGCAACAAAAATACGCAACTAAATAATAAAACAACAAAATTAACAGTTGACTGCTGGAGAATAATAAAAAATCTCTATTTGAATGGCTGAGAGTCGCAATCAATGGCCGCCGTGGAATCCTCCGTAGCCCTCGTCTTCCTCCTCGTAGCCCGAACTGGAGCTGCCACTGTGGCCGCCCTTCTTTCCGAATTCGTCGTGGTGGCCGCTGTACTCCTCTTGGCCGTACTCGCCCTTGTGGCCGCTGGCCCCGCTGTCATGATGACCCTTGGCAAAGTGACCCTTTTTGCCCTGCTGGGCCTGATCGTGGCCGCTCGCGTGGTGGCCTCCCCTCTGGTGGCCGCCTTTGGCCTCTTGGAAGTGCGCCTCCTCGGCTCCGTGCTTCTTGTTGAAGCCCTCTTTGTGCTCCTCGTCGTAAAACTTGTGTTCTTTCTTGTACTCGTCCTTGTGGTATGTGTTGTGGAAGCCCTTGGTGCTCGAGCCCTTCTTGTGGTAGCCCTTCGAACCGTGAGAAGCGCCCTGCTCACCTTTGCTGCCCGACTCTCCACCTTTTTATATGGAAACAATTAACTTTTTTGTGTACGGTGAGGTAAATTATACTAATTATAATAAGTGATCATTTTGATTATTTAAATATCAGAACACTAAACGTTTTCTCCATCAAATAAAAAAAAGCTATATGATAATGCGACTCAAGATTTGATCACAGAACCAGCGCAGATCAATTTGAAATAATGAAGCATGATAATTGTAGCGCTAGAAAATCAAGTCAATCTTAAAGTAACAAAAATATGAATGAAAAAGGCAATGAAATTTGAAAGTTATAAAAATGAAATTTTGATTACATTAAAATTGCCTATTTTCATTTTATATACATTCTTGTAATCAACGTTACCAATGTTAAACCATGTTTTAAAATAGTATTAAATACAAATTAAAATAAATAAACAAAGTGGCTGATTTAATTTATAAATAATAAGAAAAGTAATTAAAATGAAATTATATTTTGAAAAAATATTTATTTACACAGTCAGTATTTAATTCTGTCATTATATATTAAAAGCTAAATAAATAGAAACATAACCTCTTGTTTTAATTTTAATATTGTCAATGAAATTAAAAAAAAGACAAATTAAAATAAGCAAGCTTGTGTTTTTATTTAAAAAAAAGGATTATTTGGATTATTTTAGAAATGATTTTATGAATAAGCTTACCTGCAAAATGAGCCTTTTCTTCAAAGTGTCCCTTTTTGTTGGCGCCGTCTTCAGAGAAATGTCCGCTCTGTCCACCTTTGTCGAACTTGGCACTGTCGCCCTTCTTGAAACCGCTGCTGCCCTTGTGACCCTTGGCGCCCTTTGAGCCGCCGGCACTGTAGTGTTGGGCCTGGTGCTCGGACCCGCCGCCCTTTTTGAAACCGCCGCCGTTGTTGGCCAGGTACAAGTTGCCCTGCTTGTATCCGTCGCCTAGTCCGTACCCGCCACCGTAACCCCTGCCGAAGTTGAAATATTGTCCGAGGGGGGCAGCCGGGGCCGGCGCAAAGTTCTGGAAGTGCGACCCGGCGGCCACGGGGCCGCTTTGCATGTGGCTGTAACTGACGCCGTTGCCACCGTGGTACACCCTGTAGGCCGAGGGCGCCGCTTCTGCGTCGACCACCACCGGCTGCTCGAGCAACGGCAACAACTTGTTGATCGGCGCCTCCTGAGGCAGCAGCAGGAGGTGCGTCGGGTGGGCCCGACAAGAGGCGACGACCAACAACACGAACGCAGCACTGCCGATCATTGCAGACTTCTTGCACTGTCTGATGCCGTGGACAGGCCTCCCGTCGCCTTTTATACGCCGCCACCCTTACCTGTGAGGTAATTGCACGATCGTCGCACACAAATTTTCTCGGTCGATTACCGCGGTCAGTGTCGTTCTGCATGACAGCCAACTTGTTTTGGAGCGCCGATTGATTCATATTATACATTGTGTGCTTTTTTTGTCTGGTCGCACAAGTGCAACGCTGATGCAACTTTTGCTAATTCAACCAATCTCACGGCGTGAAAATTTATTTTGTGTGGTATGGTTGCTTAGCTTTGTACTCTAGTTACATAGACAGCATTTGATCCACTCTCATTTTAATTAGGATTAATAATTGTGAAAAGTAAAATGGAAATAGTACAAAGTGAAAATCAGTTTAATATTTGAGCTTTTTATTTTGAAGAGAGGCTTGCTAAATTTCTCTTACTGACTGAAAATAAAATGGAAAAAAAATAATTAAAAATTAAGGTGAAATAATAATGGGCGATTAAAGCAAACAATTAAAAAATTTTGTTTAATGCATTTAAAAACATTAAATCAATCAAATCAATCATTTAGTTATTTTAATTAAGTTCTGCTCTTTTTTCAAATCAATTTTTTTTTGTATCGACTGAAAAGAATAAGTAATAATAATAATAATAAACAAATTTTGTTATACATCATCAAAAATACAGTAGTTTTTCTGATTTTTTTTTTTTTTTTTCATATTTTAACCTTTTAAAAATAATATATAAAATATTACATACATTATATGGATATTGATATAATAATATATCAAAATGCAAATAAATATAGTAATGCCTGATGTTAAAATTTTCGAAAATTTTTGTAAATTTTAGATGGGGTCTTGATAATGAGAAATATCCGAAACAGAAGCGCACGCATTATGGGTCAATAAGTACCGCTTCTGATTGGCTGTTGGTTTTCCGTGGCGCAAATTTCAAATTTTCACCAGCGTGTGAAAGTGACACGATAAAATAAAATAAACAAAAAAGCATCAATTTGTACAAATAATAGCAAAAATCACATACCTGGGACCAGTTAATGAGTGCGGCAGTTTTTCTGAGTGGTCGGCTGGCCGGGAAATAAATTCCCCATTCGCCTCAATTCCTTGAGATACAGCGGCGATTCATGAAAATTTTCACCTTTCTCGCCATTTTCCTTCTTCCAAGGACACGTTGGGCACAAGGGCAGCGGCGAGTGATAAGAGAAAGAGAGAGCGCATTCCGATGCTACTGCACTGTGAATGTGAAGGTGGCGCTCCCTCCCAACCCTCCCTCATTTCCTTTTCCCTCGCCGGCTGCCCAAGCGCTGGCGTCTCCAGAAACTTCCTCACTGGAGGAAAAATGGCGAATCGGGCAAAAATATCAGCAATCTCACCGAATTAATGGATTTTCTCGCCGCGCCGACCACTTGGAAGTGTCGCCGCACTCATCGACTCGCCTCAGGTAGGTGAATTTTTTCGTTACAATTTTCCATTTTTTAAATAAATTGCCTCTAACAATAAAATTATGCCTCTTGTTTGTCATGAAGTAAATCGCCCTTCCGGTACTAGCAGCGGACGCATCTGACCACTATTTGAATCGAGACCCAGACCCCATTGGTACAGAGAATGAATAACATAAGTTTGATCCAAAGTTTCTAATTGCTTTAGTTCATGACTACCAAAGGCCCTTATATGTCTTTCTTTCAAGTTCTCAAATTATTCTTTAATGTGTCGATTTATTATATTTTTTTTTACCGTCAAAGTGAGACCAACAACAAGAGCGCAATTTCATTATACCCAATTACACCCGAAATGTTATTTAGCTCAACAGCGTCAACTCTTCCTGTCGTTGTAAGTCGTGTAAAAACTATCAGCAATTCTCAATTCTTCAACAACGCTTCGTGAAAAAGAGAGAAATCAATATTGAACCACTTATTTAATAACTTCCTTCAATAAGCCGCAAAAGTACATCTATTTCACTTGTCGGGAAAAAAAGGCAATTACTTTTTTACCAAATTAAATGAGCTTCCGTTGCGTGAAATTCAAAGCGCGCGGTGAAATAAGACGTCGTTGTATTCTCATTTGAATTTCCCAACTCGTATTCACGCCTTTCTAGCAGGTGTATCATTTTATTATTTATGCTGGGGCGCCGAAAAAGCCAAGCGGAAAATTCCCGAGCGGCAACCTGTTGCACAGTGGTGGATCTAATCGCAGTCAAATACACATATTTTGCGATCGACCGCCTCCGCATAGGACCTTTGTTTCGCGTCGCAAGTCACTCTCACCTGAACAGCGCGTGCTCAGCCAAGCGTGTTAATAATAAAATTGCGCTCGTTGTTTTCGGGGTGTCAAAGTTTTGCTGAAATGAAGTGGCGTTAAATTGCGCACGTTTTAAAAGAGGAACTTCGGCTCGCAGCCAACTGCCGGCCCAATTTGCATAAATCGACAAGTACGGCAATTTGCTTGACTTTTGACTTTTTTAAAGGGACATTAAAAGTGCAGAGCTTTAAATTTGCATCCTAAGTATTTAAGCGGACTGGAGGTACCGAAGTTAAATAAAAAGATTAAATAAAATTAAAATTATTTCAATTTTTTTCTTTAAATTTCGTGATTTAGATACTATTATTAAATAGTCAAATTAAGTCATAAGTTATTTTTTAATTTTCTTAATACTAAAAGATAAGATGTAACATAATAAAAACTACCACAATTTGTTGCAAAATTTTTTTTTAAACATTTAGTGACAAATAAAATTAAACAGTTTTAAGAGAATAGCATCATAATATTCATCTTAAAATAAAACTTAGTAATACAGTTCAAAATTTGCATTAACACTTAGAATGAAAAAAAAATCTTAGAATGAAAAAAAATCCTTCCAGTCAGAAATTTTCACGAAGAGACACAAAAATTTCAAGATAAATTCCAATAATACATATTGCTCTATCTCTATGCATTATGTTATCTGTTATAATTCAATTTTATTTTTACATTGTTTTAAATATTTAACTTCTTCCATAATTATTGGATATCATCGATATATCTTTATTATATAAAAGATAAAATTAAATTAAACACGATACTCATGAATTTGAAAATATTTTATTTTGCGTTCTGGTCTCACATTATCATCAAATTGCTGCTTGGCGAAAACAATAACTAATGAAAGAGAGCGGATATGGGTTTGCGTCAGCAGCTGCGAAATAAATAAGGCTTAATTAACTTTTCGGTAAATCAATTTATCGCTCTAACGCGCAGCTAAATGGCTCGCGTCTCTTTTTGTTGCGCTCTCACTCTAACTGAATGAGTGCACAATTGTGTGTGTGCCAAATCACATTCTATTACACTGTTGTAACAAGCGGTTTGAGCAATCAAACGGAGCCGGAGTTCAATAAACTTCCAATGCATTTGCAATTTTTTTTATTGATTTTGAATCCTTTTCTAATTAAAATATTTTATTACTAACGATCAAAAGTCGATCGAAGAATATATTTCTATTAAGTTTTAAGTGGTTTTTTTTATAATATTTATAAAACTAAAAACGTAACTGCCAACAATTCATAGGATGATTTAAACAAAAACTCTTCAATTTCATTTCTAAACTTAAGATTTACTCGGCAATCTTTTTAACAACAATAACAGACAACAACATCAACAATGAAAACTGGCAGGTATGGTCAAAGTAACAGATCAAAGTTTCAGTTCGAAAGGTCGAAATGGTGTGTTTAGTGGTGTCCACCGCCTCCGCCACCACCTCCCTTGCTGGAAGAGTGGCCCCACTCCTCCTTGCCCTCGTCGCCACCCTTCTTGCCCCAGTGCTCTTCGTCGTCGTGGTGGCTCTCGTCACCGTGCTCGCCCTTCCACCCCTTCTTGCTGCTGTCGTGGTGACCCTTGCCCCAGTGGCCCTTCTTTCCGTACTTGTCCTCGTGATGACCGCCCTTGTGATGACCTCCCTTCTCGTGACCGCCCTTCTTGTCCTCGTGGTGTTCGTGGTGGGAGCCCTTCTTGTCATGGTGGGCCTCGTCGTAGTGTTCGTCAAAGAATTTCTTCTCCTTCTTGTGCTCGTCGAGCTTGTGGATGTCATGCGAGCCCTTGGTGCTGTGACCCTTCTTGTAACTGTCCTCGTCGCCGTACTTGTGGCCCTTCTCGCCCTTGCTGCCCTTGTGGTGCTCACCGTAGTAGCCGCCCTCGTCGTGGTGACCCTTCTTGTGACCTCCGTCCTCCGAGAAGTCGCCCTTCTTGCCCTCCTTGTCGTGGTGTCCCTTTTCGCCCTTGTGCCATCCGTGGTCTGACTTGTGTCCTTTCTTGCCCTTTTTGCCGCCCTCGGAGAAGTGCGACTCGTGTTTCTTGGAGCCGCCGCCCTTCTTAGACGAGTGTCCGCCGTGTCCACCGGAGGCGGCTGGCACCAGGTCGTGATCGGCGAAACTCCAAACGTCAACCAACCGGGATCCTTCGACGAACTGATCCGTTGATGCAGAGATGGATGTATCGCCCTGCAATTTTTCATCAATTTCAGTAAAATGTGTTGACGGGTAATTTTTAATTTGAAGCGGGCTTATGGACCAAAGAGTTTTTTAATTCATTTAAAAAAATCGCACCATAAATGAGCTGTTAAGGTCTCAAAATTAGTTTTCCATTCCCTGAAATTGTTACTTGTCAATATTTCGTTAAAAAATTCAATAAAGAGTGCAATTCATAAACCCAACCTGGCCCAGGGTAATTAGTCCACCATTAAATTTGCATGGCGAATTTAGTTAACTTGTTCAGGATCGCCAATTAGATGTACATTAGATTGGGCAAAAAATTATATATTTATTTCCGTTTATTTCCAATTAAAATTAAATTCTAAATGCTTATATTTAAACCATTGTTTACAGTAATTTTTTATGCAAAAAATATTCCTTCAATAATATAATTACTTTATAGGTTGTGATCGCATATTATCATTTATTTGGTGTTACAAATTAATAAATTGAGGTTCATCTTTACATTCTTTACAATTATTGCACGGATTGTGAGCGAGGAGGAAATATGCAACCTGCGTGACACGCTTGTAAATGCATTGCATACTCCACAGTGAAAAGTAAATCTTGGGGATAAAATACACTTATTTTAAGTAAAAATTGAAATTGATCTTTAAACTGTAGAAATATTTCAGAGAAAAATTGATGGATAAAACTATTTTTTTAGAGACATTGAAGTTCAATGGAGATGAAAATCATATAAAGTATTAAAAATATAAGTAATAAATTAATATTTTTATGTTTAATAAAAAACAATAGAGTGAAACTGAATCCAAACTTTTGCCAATTATTTCAAATTTACAAAAAAAAAAATCAAAGTACCGTTTGCGGCCATGCGCCAATGCTGAAGATCTCTCTGGCGAAGCCGGTTGTCTGCAGAAGGCCGAGCACCACGATCAAGCACCAAGTAGGAGCGCCCATTTCGGTCAATTCCTTCAGGTCTCTTGAGTGTGTGTGATGCCGACCAAGGCAGTTAGTCTTATTTATAGGCGTGAGATGCTCAGTCAGCCCGGCGGTGCTTTTTGTCGCTTGATTATGCGAGCGACACTTGGCGCGGCAGCACTCGAGTGCATCCTCGTGTTTCTGCTCATTTAAACGCCCGACGAATTGTCTCGCCTTTCGCTTTCACCCGCGGGCGCGGAGCAGTTAGTTTGTGCGAACCATTTCGCCACTGGTCGGTCGAACCGCTTCATTGGGGACGTTGCCGCCTGGCACTCACTGCTCTCCTCGACTCCACGGCTTTTTTGTCGCACTTTATTCTGTTAAGTTTCGTCGCAAAAACCGCCACCGGTTGTTGTGAAAAGCTTTTCTACGTCTCTCCAGTAAAAGCGGCGCGCATTACACACTTTTTATACAAAAAGCTTATTTGCAACCGTTTAAAGAAATGTACTGTTAGGAAAGCTTTTCAATGGAAATTAAATTTAATTCTATAAACGCATCAGTAAAACTGAGTAAAACATACATAGTAAGTTTGCCAGATCTATAATAATAGAGATTAAATTTTTACTTTGCTGGTAAATAGTGCCTTTTAATCTTTATTAAAAATTAAAAAAAGCATTGAAGCACTACAAAAGTTAATATCAAATATTAATAAATTTAATATTCATTTTTTATTATTTAATGTTTTTTGATTATTTTTATAATATATAAAATACATTATAATTTATTCATCGTTTTGTTTTGCAAAGCTCTATAAATTTATTTAAATGATAAAAATTTGATATATCACTCATGAGTATTCACCATAATATATAATATATATGTTAAAGATCAGATCACCTTCACAATTCTAATTTAATTTTAAGTTAAAAAAAATAGTAGTAACAACTTCTTCATTTTTGCGTATACTACAGTACATTTCACTTTAGCAGGGCAGTTCTTCAGGTGTATTATCGGTCACACGGATTGTCACATAATTCACATACACATTTATTGACATCAATTTAATTCATTTATATTTTTATTATTATCGCCTCAATTTTGGCCTTCATTGATGATAAATTAGTTTATTAAATGTTTACGATACAAAAATAATAGGCTTAGCCAAGTTTTAGATTTTCAATGAAAACGTAGACACAGTTCCTGCTGGAAACGTTAATTTTTTAATTTGTAGTTATCTGGTCATTTAACTTTGGTAGCGATATTTATTAGATAGTTGAACTTGGAATAAAATTAATTGGGAAATATGCAAATTCTTTTGGTATGTTCAATTACATTGTGAAATAATATATAAACTATTTTAATTGGATTTTTAGCATTGCTAAGAATGATAATGGATTTTTTTTTTATATCCTGCATATATGGGATTATATATTCAGGTTTTGCAAAGGAGCAATCCCAACCAAGATGCACATGACTCAAGATTGCAAAGACTTCAATAGGAATTTTCATTTGCGCTGTTAACAGAGAATTGTAGTAAATTACCAAGAATTAAAGTATTTATATTTTTATTATTATTTTCTGAGATATATATTACTTAATTTATTTTATTTTAACAATCAAAACTTTTAAAATGTGGAAATGAAGAGATCGGGCTTTTCCTCCATGATCATCTCCTCGAGTGTCAACTTCTTCTTTTAAAATGTATTATAATATATTTAGTGGCAGTATTTGCTAGGTTTTTTTTTTTAAAATTACCCATTAATTGAAACTGTTCTTTTTTTAATTGCAGGTTATGTTAAATTTAGATCTGAAAGTTTTTCTCAAAAGAAATGCATGGAAGTTCATTTGAAATAGCTTTTTTTTATTTGCAGGTAACAACAACAAAATGCATTTTAATCAATTTGTAGCCGTTTAAAAACATTTAACATTAACTACACATTAAGTCAACAATCAACAACAACGAGATCGCAGCAACAACAGGGTCAAAATGAGTTTCCGGGAATCCTTCGGGTGTGACAAGAGAGGGATGGGGATGGAGGAAAGGGTTGATGGCATTAACAGGGTTTTTGGCCACCTCTGTCGGCCGCTGGATTCAAATTTCAATAAATTAACGAAAGCCAGGTTTGGCAAAAGGATGATGAACAGCAGGGTTGGAATCAGCAGCTTAGTGGTGTCCTCCGCCACCTCCTCCTCCTCCGTGTCCGCCGCCGCCTCCACCTCCACCACCGCCTCCGTGACCTCCGCCTCCGCCCGAGCTGAAACCGTGAGAGCTGTGGCCCTCGTCGCCTCCCTTCTTGCCGTAGTCGTCGTGGTGGCCGCTGTATTCCTCGTGGCCGTGCTCGCCCTTCCACCCCTTGTGATCGCTGTCGTGGTGACCCTTGTCGTGGTGGCCCTTCTTGCTGTACTTGTCCTCGTGGTGACCGCCCTTGTGGTGACCTCCCTTCTCGTGGCCTCCCTTCTTGTCTCCGTGGTGTTCGTGGAAGTCGCCGTACTTCTTGGAGTGGCCGCCCTTGTGGAAGTCGTCGTAGAACTTGTGCTCCTTCTTGTACTCGTCCTTGTGGTACGTGTTGTGGTATCCCTTGGTGGAGTCGCCTTTCTTGTGACCTCCCTTCTCGCCAAAGCTCGAGCCCTTCTCACCCTTGCTGCCCTTCTCGTGCTTGCCGTAGTGGCCGCCCTCCTCGTGGTGGCCCTTCTTGTGGCCGCCGTCTTCCTCGTGGTGGCCGGACTTGTCCTCCTTGTCGTGGTGACCTTTCTCGCCCTTGTCCCAGCCACTGTTGCCCTTGTGACCTTTGTGACCCTTGCTTCCCTTGGAGCCGTGGCTGGACGAGTGGTGTTTGGAGCCGCCGCCCTTTTTGGAGCTGCTCTCTTTTCCTCCTCCTCCACCGCCTCCACCTCCGCCTCCGCCGCCTCCTCCGTGGCCTCCGCCTCCTCCTCCGTGGCCTCCGCTGGCAGCTACGGCAAGGTCGCCCCAGTAGCGGGTGGCGGCGGGCGCCAGGTCACTGGGGATGTACTCGCGGACGGGCCGCACTGAGACGACGAGGCCGCCGTTGTCAGGACGGCGCCTGAAGACAGGCAGCTCGCGAGCCAGCACGGCCGTGCCGAGCACGGCTAGCGCTACGAAGAGTGGTTGATGTCGAACCCACATGGCTAGAGCTGATCTGAGCCCCTCAAGCCACGGAACACTTGTGCCTCTTCGGTGGCGTCTCTACTCCTTTATAGAGATGCCCGTCGAGCGAATCCGGCACTTTTTTCGCGCTGGCACGGCAAGAGCTGACCAGCCGAGCATGTCACCCTCCTCCGTCAATTGTGTTTTCGCCGCGCCCGAAAAGTCACGCTTTCTTTGCCAAAACCTATCGCTGCTTCTGCCCGTGATTGATCGATCGGTCGCTCCTCTATTGCGCCGCTGGAAGCACGCATAAATTAAAATGCAAGAAATTCGGTGAAATGCACTCCGGATGAATTAAGGCTAATCGAAGAAGAACAAATTATTAAAATGTAATATTATTTAAAATCATTCACTAAAGATCGACGATTTCTGATTATTTTAAGTCCTCAAGCGCATAATGGACAAATTTGGCTGTAATTTAATTTTGTATTACTAAATGACATGAACATAGTTTTTTGACTATACTGTATGTGTATCAAGTAATTGAACATCTAAGTTTCAAGATTGATTTTAATTTTTAATTGTTCTTTATTTTATTAATTTATTCTCCATTCGGTTCAAGTATTTTTGAATATAAGTGGTGCCAGTAGAAACTTAAAATGACTTAAATTATTTTTTAATGGTCCCGTGAAATTTATGAAAAATTTTGTACACCTGAAGGCCCGTCATAAGTTAATATATTTGAATTAATTTTCCTTCAACACTTTAAACAATTCACTCACTTTATATTTTTTTTTTCAAAACATCTGAATGAATCAGATATGAAATGTGAATGATATTTAGTTTGGAAACTTTTATTGAAGACCTTAAATTTCCCTGAGTTAATAATTGTTATAAATATCATCGAGCAATCGAAATAATCAATAAATACTCTTTTTATTTCTGTATGCCTGGAAAAACTTAACATTTTATTGGCTCCTTTCTCTGTACAAATTGGTTTGAGAAGTAAAATCGTTCGTAACAATGGATGATGATTACCGATTGAAGTAAGGAGTTCGTAATTAGTTTACAAAAATTGTTTTTAAATCCGATTTATTTTGTATTCATGTATGAAAAAATTACACAAAACAAAATTCATTACAAAGAACATTAATTTTATAAATGAAACATAATTAATTTAATAATAAAATAAAATTTAAAAAATGCGCTAATAATTATTAATTTATTGTAAAAATAATTCATAATTTTATTTTAAACTTATTATTATTAATGTTCATTAAGGTTAATTACCTATATAATTAATAAAATTATTAAGCAATAGTTAAATTTGTCTTTTGAGTAAAATTATATTATTTGAGAGATATATTTACATCTTATGAGATTTGCAGATGCCAGTTTAGCATACGTGAATTTCCCTCATTATTTATTTTATTCCCTTCTCTTTAGATTCAGAAATATAATTTGAAAATTATCAATTTTTTTTTTATTTTTGCCAACAATACCACTTTCAATTCCGTTGATGGTGCACTGAAGAACGTCTCTCTGTAATTTTGGTGGTAATTTTTTCTCTGGATCTTTCTGCGGCCTGATCAAGAAAAAATGTACTATCTGTTCAGATGGATGATTGATTTCTATTTGATGCAGACCGCACTACTGACTTCTATAAGATAAGACGATTTTCAAGGCAAATGACTTTTTTTCTGAAGATAAAGTTGCAACTCAATTATATGATGTAGTAAAATGATTATAAATGGCATTATTTTTTTTAACGGGACCCACTTTTGGCATGGGGTCGGCGGATCTTGTTGAAAATTGGTAGTTTGGTTGCCCTTAGGGTGTAGACAAATAGTTTAGAAGGATTTTTGAAAATTCTCAAAATTGCCTATTTTACAGGGGCTCAAAGTTGGGGATTTTTAAAAAAGGTGTTTTCGAAAATCAAAAATATCTCAGGTCCTGCTGCAGATAGCGCATGTGTGTATATAAACAAAGTTGTAGGAAATTAGACGACCTACAACTTTGCCATAGTGACCAAGGTCGTAGGTCAAAGTTCAGGGTCAATTTTTTAAGCTTGAATTTTTTGATGCGCCACCAAAGTACCTAGTACATAAAAATTTTTTATTCCATTATAGCCAAAAGTTGCTCTAGTTGGTAGTCAACAACATATTGAAATTTGGCGAGACTGTTTTTTTCTGTTTTCGAGATATTTTAGGTCAAAAGCAGAAAAACGTGGTTTTCCGAGCATTTTCCTACACAAATTAACATTTAACCGCCCGTAACTCTTTTCCTGCTAGAGTTACGCAAAAATGTATAATAACAAAAAATGATTGCCTTGACCTGTTCTTTCAAACCATGTATCGAACATAGTGACCAGGTCACAAAAGGTCAATGACCCCGGTGACCTGTGACCTTGCAAGTGCAAAACTGAATTTCAGATATTCTTGTGTTTCTTTTCATCGAGGTGAAACATTTCCAGCAAATATTTTTGGAAAGGTCACAGGTCACCGGGGTCAATGACCTTTTGTGACCTGGTCACTATGTGCGATACATGGTTTGAAAGAACAGGTCAAGGCAATCATTTTTTGTTATTATACATTTTTGCGTAACTCTAGCAGGAAAAGAGTTACGGGCGGTTAAATGTTAATTTGTGTAGGAAAATGCTCGGAAAACCACGTTTTTCTGCTTTTGACCTAAAATATCTCGAAAACAGAAAAAAACAGTCTCGCCAAATTTCAATATGTTGTTGACTACCAACTAGAGCAACTTTTGGCTATAATGGAATAAAAAAATTTTATGTACTAGGTACTTTGGTGGCGCATCAAAAAATTCAAGCTTAAAAAATTGACCCTGAACTTTGACCTACGACCTTGGTCACTATGGCAAAGTTGTAGGTCGTCTAATTTCCTACAACTTTGTTTATATACACACATGCGCTATCTGCAGCAGGACCTGAGATATTTTTGATTTTCGAAAACACCTTTTTTAAAAATCCCCAACTTTGAGCCCCTGTAAAATAGGCAATTTTGAGAATTTTCAAAAATCCTTCTAAACTATTTGTCTACACCCTAAGGGCAACCAAACTACCAATTTTCAACAAGATCCGCCGACCCCATGCCAAAAGTGGGTCCCGTTAAAAAAAATAATTATAATTATTTTCATTAATTTAGAAATTCCTGACTGAGACTAAAATTATTACAAATTAAGGAAAGAACCGTGACTAATTATTGATGTTTACATATTTTATTAATTTTTGTCTTATGTACAAAATAAAAATTCCCACAAATGTTATTTATTTTAACGTTTAAAAAAAAAATAAGCTGATGCAATCGAAAAACAATTATTTATTTATATAGAGGATTTAAATAGAAGTTAGATGTGCAATTTGGCATGCTGGATATTATCTGCTCCACTTTTTCTCCACCGTTGGATGATGCAATTAGAATTTTCCAGAGAAGCTTAGTGAACCAGAGAGCGCAGTTTTGTTTCGCGCTCGCAACTTTCGCCGAGTACACATTTTGTTAAACGGTTTTGTCACTGAAGCACAGTAGTGCGTGCGCCAGGCACAAAAAAGCGGCAGTGTGACAATCGATTTCAAAATAGATTGAGAGCTGCATCGTTTCCTATTAAGTGTAACATCGGTCGTGAGGTAATCCACTGAATTGCGTCTTTCCCTATCGCAATTGATACCCAATGGCTTGGAAATGATTAGGTTTTTCGCATTTTTCTCACTCAGCTGGATCATGACGTAGTAAAACGCAATGGTTTTCGATGAACTTTTGTTTCAAGTTTTTTTTTATTTTATTATTATTTACATGTACAACTCAGTTGAATATTTGTCAGATAAACTTGAAAAAATTGTTAAAATTTAGCTTCACTACATTTGACAGAAAGAAAAGTTAAGAAAATTTCACAAGGAAATGTTGTCACCTCGTTTTTTGCTTTGGTAATTTTCTGCTGAAAAGTTAACAGACTGAGGCGACACCGTTTGATCCGTTCAAATGTCACAAAGTTTAGCCGCATTAGAGAGAAAGAGAGAAAAAAAAATACCCGTTCAGTGTGCAGAATGCGCTCAACCATTTAACTTGCACAAAGCGCTCATATTTTCCGCGTTCGGACGCTCACTCATTGCTTAAGTGGCTTAAGTACTCCTCAGTATTATTTTTTGACCGTGATTTTATATGGAAATTATATCTAGAAAAAAGAAAAAAAAGATGGTTTTAGGGATTACTCTCCTGATTTGATGTAGTAAAATTTCACATTTCATCCTACGGGAATTTTGTTTTGCCAACTGAGAAAAATAGCTGGATCCACTTTAGGTATCAAATTTGCAATGATTTTTATAATTATTGATGCACCCGATTTGTTTTTCGTTAATAAACTGTTTATATTTAAAGTAAGAGCTTGGCTAGATTTATTCATAGATATGTTTTAAGTTTTAAAAGTGCCTTTTTAATTAAATTTTATTTCTTAAATATAATTTCCTTCGTGAATTAGGGCTGCATTTAGTGGTCAAAAACACTTTTGCCCCCCTTTAGATTAAAAATTCAACGGATCAACATTTATCATGTGTCGCCCGCCTCTCGACTTGCAGTTCATAAAAAAATCCATTAAATTTAAAAATTTATTCACTCCTCATCTTCATCTTCCTCATCGTCCTCCTCGTCATCGTCGAATTTTGATAAAAATGAGTCGTACATTTCACTGAAACTTCCATGTCCACCGTCGCCCTCTTCACTGCCCGCCGCGTCTTTACTCGCATCCTCTGACTCTTCTTCGTCTTCGTAGGAAAACAGGCCTTTGCCCTGGCTGATTTTGTGGCTGTGCGCGCCAATCCCGCCGTAGTCGCCGTGGCCGCCATCGTCATCGTCCGACGAGTGGCTGCTGGCCCAGGTGCCGCTGTCCTTCCACGATCCCCCGTCCTCGCCGCCACCCTTCTTGCCGGTGCTCGTGTGGCTTTCGTGGCCCCACGTGTCGCCGTCCGCCTTGTCGAAGCTGTCGCTCTTCTTGTACCCATTGTCGCCCTTGAATGACTTCGAATTGTGGTAACTGGACTCTTTTTTGCCACCTTTGTCTCCGCCCGAGCCTTTGCTGGATGAACTTGCCGCTTCAAACAGGTCAGTCGGAGGACGCACCTGCACTTCACTGATAACTGACTCGACCACAGAAGTGTCCTCCATATCATCCCTGCACACATATGAAAATAAATTAATCACATTAAATGTTTAAATAAAACGTTTAGAGCAGCAGCAGCACAGAGGCTTCAAATAATGATATAAAATTAAAAAATACACTATCGAATTTGGAAAAAAATAATTATGTAATTTAGTTTCAATGTAAATTAATCACAGTAATACAGACTTTCAATAATTTCTCAATTTTCCATCTTTGATGAATAACTAATCGTCATCGGTTGGCGCCACAATATTAAATAGAAATGGAAAATAAAAATAATTTATTTTATTGTTTAAAAATACAGGACTTAGAAGACAACAGAAACACAAAAATTTTAATTTTAATTAAATTAAATAAAACAGTAACATAAAATGGTGATTTGAATTTAAAATCGGCTTTTCCTCGATCGGTGGGTTTTTGAGACTTTTTTATTGTTTCAAAAAATTATATCCTGCTCTACCCATCGATGTAAAGCCAATTTTAAATTCAAATCACCATGAATCAACCCTCGATCGTGAAATTCTACGACAAAAGTAACATAAAATTAAAAAATGATATTTCCCTTTTTTATTTCTGAAATTGTTATTAAAAAGGTGATAAAAATGTAAATTTTTTTCTATATTGAAATTTGGTATTTTCTTTAATAGAAAAATTACGCTTGAGATTTATAAATACAAATTGGGAGTAAATAAAATTTTAAATCACTCACATGTGGGCCACTCCTGCGAGGGCGAGAGCCGCGCAGAGGATCATTCCGGCCGAAGCCGCCCTGGCGTGCCTGCCGATCATGTCAACCTGGGACTGATGTCGTCCATCGCGCCAACCACCACTATATATAACAACCGTTGGAGGCAAGTGTCCACCGAGAGGAAGTCGTCCGTCCATTCGCGTCGCTTTTTTCCGCGACACAACTTCCCTCCACGCTACTTTCTCTCCTTCCGCAAATTTGACTAAAGTTCGGCGCGCTCCAGCCTTCCGGGTTGACGCCGGCGGATCATCCATTATTTTTTTCATGCTCGGTTGGTTTATTTGTGAATTACGACGCCGATTAATAGGAAAATTGACGGGCGATCAGGAAGGTGTGCTTGTTTCTCAGGCATTGTTGAAATTTCTTGCTTATGCCTTTTTGACAACAAAGTTACGTCACAGTAACGCAATCAAAAATCAAATCAAATATATTTGGTTTCAAACTTTCTTAATTTTTTAAACAATTTTATTTAAAATATATTAACGTTGATTGTGAATGTTGATGTTGAAACCTGCAATCAAATTATAGTTTTTTACAATAGTGTATAAAAAAATTTAACTCGTGGAAAATTTATTATCTGGACAAAAACAATTTTGGACAAAACGAATTCAAAGGATGTGGCAGAATAAATTTGAATATTAAAGGAATAAACAAAGAAAGCTTCATTTTGTTATGCCTAAATTCACTAAACGGATTATGCACATAAGCTTCATTAACTTTTGAGAGACAGCTGTGGGCTGTGGGAGAGAGAAGATAAGAAGATGTTTTTCCGACTTTAAATAGCAGAATGGTTTGAGTAAAATACTCTCTGAGCATTTATTTTGATCGCAGTATTTATATCAACGTGCAGCCTACGATTCTTAGAAGCGCGCCACAGTATATGGTAACAAGACACCGTTACATGTGTATACATTGCTGCAGAGCACCACAAAGTGTTAGGGATAGTATATCGGGTAGGTATAGGGCGGACTTGCCCAATAGGCTGCTATGCAAGTGCCGCGCGCCATTGTGTAATTAGGCAGAAATGGAGTGGACGATTTATCATTCAAAATTATAATTTATATCTTTGGCCATTTACTATTTGCGCGGTGACTTTTAATTTATATTTTATATATAAACTGTTTCATCGTATCATAAGAAACTCATTTCAATACAATTTTAAATAAAATAAATTGTTTAAAAAAATACATTAAAAAAATAAATTACTGTTTTTTTTATCTGGATAAGCTTTTCTCAATTTATTGCTCTTAATGTAGTTAGTAATATTATTAATTATTTTACGAGGTTGAAGTTTATAAAAAGCACTAAAAATATCTTTCTACAACATTGCTTTGCAGCAGGGCATATAATTAATGAAATCTAATATTAAAGGATTGATGTTCAATTTCTGCTTGAAATGCGAGAGAGGAAGGCTTGCGCCTAACAAATTAAATAATTTTGGATTAGATATTCACGGGAAATCCTCCACAGCAACCTAGCTTTCGACGAGTCGTGATATTTAAATGTATCGTCTGAGTTAGAGGTTGAGATTTTGTCCAGGCACTTTCAGTGAATCCAGTGAGGCGTGCTATATTTTCTAAAAGGAGGAATAAGAATATTCAGAGTCGTGAAATTTAAATGTATCGTCTGAGTTAGAGGTTGAGATTTTGTCCAGGCACTTTCAGTGAATCCAGTGAGGCGCGCTATATTTTCGAAAAGCAGGAATAAGAATATTCATAGTCGTGAAATTTAAATGTATCGTCTGAGTTAGAGGTTGAGATTTAGTCCAGGCACTTTCAGTGAATCCAGTGAGGTGCGCTATATTTTCGAAAAGGAGGAATAAGAATATTCATAGTCGTGAAATTTAAATGTATCGTCAGAGTTAGAGGTTGAAGGTTAGTCCAGGCAGTTTCATTGAATCCAGTGAGGTGCGCTATATTTTCTAAAAGGAGGAATAAGAATATTCATAGTCGCGAAATTTAAATGTATCGTCTGAGTTAGAGGTTTAGATTTAGTCCAGGCACTTTCAGTGAATCCAGTGAGGCGCGCTATATTTTCGAAAAGCAGGAATAAGAATATTCATAGTCGTGAAATTTAAATGTATCGTCTGAGTTAGAGGTTGAGATTTAGTCCAGGCACTTTCAGTGAATCCAGTGAGGTGCGCTATATTTTCGAAAAGGAGGAATAAGAATATTCATAGTCGTGAAATTTAAATGTATCGTCAGAGTTAGAGGTTGAAGGTTAGTCCAGGCAGTTTCATTGAATCCAGAGAGGCGCGCTATATTTTCTAAAAGAAGGAATAAGAATATTCATAGTCGTGAAATTTAAATGTATCGTCTGAGTTAGAGGTTGAGATTTAGTCCAGGCACTTTCAGTGAATCCAGTGAGGCGTGCTATATTTTCGAAAAGGAGGAATAAGAATATTCATAGTCGTGAAATTTAAATGTATCGTGTGAGTTAGAGGTTGAAGGTTAGTCCAGGCGGTTTCATTGAATCCAGAGAGGCGCGCTATATTTTCTAAAAGGAGGAATAAGAATATTCATAGTCGTGAAATTTAAATGTATCGTCTGAGTTAGAGGTTGAGATTTAGTCCAGGCACTTTCAGTGAATCCAGTGAGGCGTGCTATATTTTCGAAAAGGAGGAATAAGAATATTCATAGTCGTGAAATTTAAATGTATCGTCTGAGTTAGAGGTTGAAGGTTAGTCCAGGCGGTTTCATTGAATCCAGAGAGGCGCGCTATATTTTCTAAAAGGAGGAATAAGAATATTCAGAGTCGTGAAATTTAAATGTATCGTCTGAGTTAGAGGTTGAAGGTTAGTCCAGGCAGTTTCATTGAATCCAGTGAGGTGCGCTATATTTTCTAAAAGGAGGAATAAGAATATTCATAGTCGTGAAATTTAAATGTAGCGTCTGAGTTAGAGGTTGAGATTTTGTCCAGGCACTTTCAGTGAATCCAGTGAGGCGTGCTATATTTTCGAAAAGGAGGAATAAGAATATTCATAGTCGTGAAATTTAAATGTATCGTCTGAGTTAGAGGTTGAAGGTTAGTCCAGGCAGTTTCATTGAATCCAGAGAGGCGCGCTATATTTTCTAAAAGGAGGAATAAGAATATTCATAGTCGTGAAATTTAAATGTATCGTCTGAGTTAGAGGTTGAGATTTAGTCCAGGCACTTTCAGTGAATCCAGTGAGGCGCGCTATATTTTCGAAAGGCAGGAATAAGAATATTCATAGTCGTGAAATTTAAATGTATCGTCTGAGTTAGAGGTTGAGATTTAGTCCAGGCACTTTCAGTGAATCCAGTGAGGCGCGCTATATTTTCGAAAGGCAGGAATAAGAATATTCATAGTCGTGAAATTTAAATGTATTGTCTCAGTTAGAGGTTGAGATTTAGTCCAGGCACTTTCAGTGAATCCAGTGAGGCGCGCTATATTTTCGAAAGGCAGGAATAAGAATATTCATAGTCGTGAAATTTAAATGTATCGTCCGAGTTAGAGGTTGAAGGTTAGTCTAGGCAGTTTCATTGAATCCAGTGAGGCGCGCTATATTTTCTAAAAGGAGGAATAAGAATATTCAGAGTCGTGAAATTTAAATGTATCGTCTGAGTTAGAGGTTGAAGGTTAGTCCAGGCAGTTTCATTGAATCCAGTGAGGTGCGCTATATTTTCTAAAAGGAGGAATAAGAATATTCATAGTCGTGAAATTTAAATGTATCGTCTGAGTTAGAGGTTGAGATTTTGTCCAGGCACTTTCAGTGAATCCAGTGAGGCGTTCTATATTTTCGAAAAGGAGGAATAAGAATATTCATAGTCGTGAAATTTAAATGTATCGTCTGAGTTAGAGGTTGAAGGTTAGTCCAGGCAGTTTCATTGAATCCAGAGAGGCGCGCTATATTTTCTAAAAGGAGGAATAAGAATATTCATAGTCGTGAAATTTAAATTTATCGTCTGAGTTAGAGGTTGAGATTTAGTCCAGGCACTTTCAGTGAATCCAGTGAGGCGCGCTATATTTTCGAAAGGCAGGAATAAGAATATTCATAGTCGTGAAATTTAAATGTATCGTCTGAGTTAGAGGTTGAGATTTTTTCCAGGCACTTTCAGTGAATCCAGTGAGGCGTGCTATATTTTCGAAAAAGGAGGAATAAGAATATTCATAGTCGTGAAATTTAAATGTATCGTCTGAGTTAGAGGTTGAGATTTAGTCCAGGCACTTTCAGTGAATCCAGTGAGGCGCGCTATATTTTCGAAAAGCAGGAATAAGAATATTCAGAGTCGTGAAATTTAAATGTATCGTCTGAGTTAGAGGTTGAAGGTTAGTCCAGGCAGTTTCATTGAATCCAGTGAGGTGCGCTATATTTTCTAAAAGGAGGAATAAGAATATTCATAGTCGTGAAATTTAAATGTATCGTCTGAGTTAGAGGTTGAGATTTAGTCCAGGCACTTTCAGTGAATCCAGTGAGGCGCGCTATATTTTCGAAAAGCAGGAATAAGAATATTCATAGTCGTGAAATTTAAATGTATCGTCTGAGTTAGAGGTTGAGATTTTGTCCAGGCACTTTCAGTGATTCCAGTGAGGCGTGCTATATTTTCGAAAAGGAGGAATAAGAATATTCATAGTCGTGAAATTTAAATGTATCGTCTGAGTTAGAGGTTGAGATTTAGTCCAGGCACTTTCAGTGAATCCAGTGAGGTGCGCTATATTTTCGAAAAGGAGGAATAAGAATATTCATAGTCGTGAAATTTAAATGTATCGTCTGAGTTAGAGGTTGAAGGTTAGTCCAGGCAGTTTCATTGAATCCAGAGAGGCGCGCTATATTTTCTAAAAGAAGGAATAAGAATATTCATAGTCGTGAAATTTAAATGTATCGTCTGAGTTAGAGGTTGAGATTTTGTCCAGGCACTTTCAGTGAATCCAGTGAGACGCGCTATATTTTCTAAAAGTAGGAATAAGAATATTCATAGCCGTGAAATTTAAATGTATCGTCTGAGTTAGAGGTTGAGATTTTGTCCAGGCACTTTCAGTGAATCCAGTGAGGCGCGCTATATTTTCGAAAAGCAGGAATAAGAATATTCATAGTCGTGAAATTTAAATGTATCGTCTGAGTTAGAGGTTGAGATTTAGTCCAGGCACTTTCAGTGAATCCAGTGAGGCGCGCTATATTTTCTAAAAGGAGGAATAAGAATATTCATAGTCGTGAAATTTAAATGTATCGTCTGAGTTAGTGGTTGAGATTTAGTCCAGGCACTTTCAGTGAATCCAGTGAGGCGTGCTATATTTTCGAAAAGGAGGAATAAGAATATTCATAGTCGTGAAATTTAAATGTATCGTCTGAGTTAGCGGTTGAAGGTTAGTCTAGGCAGTTTCATTGAATCCAGTGAGGCGCGCTATATTTTCTAAAAGGAGGAATAAGAATATTCAGAGTCGTGAAATTTAAATGTATCGTCTGAGTTAGAGGTTGAAGGTTAGTCCAGGCAGTTTCATTGAATCCAGTGAGGTGCGCTATATTTTCTAAAAGGAGGAATA